GACAGTTATTTAGTTTTTTTTAAAAAAGTAATTTACGGTCTACAAGTGCCCCAAAAGCTTGGAATCATGTCCATGAATTGCAGAAACAGACCTCTGGAATAGCTGTCTGCTGTGAGTTCAAGGCCTGGCCAATTTAACATCTGAGTCAAGATATTGCTCCTGGAAAAGGTAGTTCCTTCAGAGAGAGAAAAGGAAAGCTGAGGGGATATAAATTGTTTTGGCTTGAGTCCAAATCAAAAAGGGAATAAGATACTTTCTCTTTTGGAAGAGACACCCAAAAGGAGTCACTGGGGCATTTAGGCTATTTAAAACTCTGCTAGATAGTGTCAGAGAAGCTGGTGAATTGAGAGAAAGGCTTTGTTAAGGCAAAGAGGAAGTTTGGCTCCATAACCTTGGTATTTACTTTAGTCTTTGCTCCTACAACACAGAAAAGTCTGGTTTATCCATAATTAGACTCTTCCTGGCTCCCTTTGGCTGATGGCAACTGAAATAATCAAGGATCTGAAATTAATTACTTTAGACAGACTGCTTATCACCTGGGTTCAAATCTATTCAGGCAGATGAGGGAGCTAAATCTAGATTTCCCATACCTCCTTGTTTCATGGAGAAAAATGCAAAAATAATAAAAAAAACCAAAACAAAACCAATCCAAAACCCACATAAAAAAAGGAGAAAAAAAAAGGCTTTTTCTAGGTAAATAGTTCTGTTACTGAGATATTGAAAAACTTTCATTCTTCCAGAATGGTGATTTAGTCTTTATAGCGGACCAAAAAAAATAAAATAAAATATTGAGGCCTATATTTAGAAAGCCAGTATTTCTACAGACCTACAGATACTTATCTTGCATAAATGTAGAAGTAAATGAACTGAGATATGAGAAAATACATAATGCCTATCTGAGATCAGGAGATGGGGAGTCTGGAAGTGATTAAATTTGCTCTATGGGGGAGTCTAAATATATTAGATCGAACATCAGTATCTCAAAGTAAACAGGGGCAAGATAAAAAGACATGGAGCAAAATTAAAACTAAGTTTCATTCACGTCACTTTCCTGTTACCAGAATCTTGCCGGTGAGCTCTAAACATCTAAAAAAATCAGGAACAAGTTCCTTGAAATTGCAGTTGTGAAGTGTTTAAACTGCCTGTTTTCAAATGAGCAACAACTTCCTCTAATCATTTTTACTGAAGTTAGAGAAATTAGATGGGGGCTTCATTCCTCCTTTATGTCTCATACAGAGATGTCACTCAGCAGTTTTTGTGGGGAAAATGGCATTTAAAAGCATTGAAGTGGAATCATTAAACTGGTGTGCTTTTCCAGAGGATGAAAACATGGTGTTTGCAATTTAAAGACCTTCTGATAGTTTTGCCATGGTGATTATTGTCTCTTCAACACTGCACACTCCACTGCAGTCAAATTTCACTGGAAGGATAAACAAAAGTGGGATGAGAACTGGGAGCAAAGCCGCTGCAGCAAGGCTTCACCAAGGGAGGAGGATGCTGAGCTGTGGTGCAAGGGAGAATGAACACTATGGTCAAGGCATTTAAATGTATTTTATCCTGAAATTCAGGCAGGTGGTTGGCATCTTGACATAACAAGGAAAAAGAAGCCTTTTGATGGTTAGTATTTCCCCTAACTAACCTTGATGAGGCACCAAACAGCACAAGGAGCTGCTGGAGCCAGCCCAGAGGAGGCCACGCAGCTGCTGCCAGGGCTGGAGCCCCTCTGCTCTGGAGCCAGCCTGGGAGAGCTGGGGCTGCTCCCCTGCACAAGAGAAGGCTCCAGGGAGAGCTGAGAGCCCCTGGCAGGGCCTAAAGGGGCTCCAGGAGAGCTGCCCAGGGACTGGGGACAAGGCCTGCAGGGACAGCACACAGGCAATGGCTTCCCAGTGCCAGAGGGCAGGCCCAGCTGGGATATTGGGAAGGAATTGCTGGCTGGGAGGGTGGGCAGGCCCTGGCACAGGGTGCCCAGAGCAGCTGGGGCTGCCCCTGGATCCCTGCAGTGTCCAAGGCCAGGCTGGACAGGGCTTGGAGCAGCCTGGGACAGGGGAAGGTGTCCCTACCCATGGCAGGGGATGGAATGAAATTATCTTCAAGGTCTCTTCCATCCCAAACCATTCTGTGATTCTGTGATTCTGTGATTCTGTGATTCTGTGATTCTGTGATTCTGTGACTGAGACTAATAATTTGGAAGATAAAGAAAAGAACATCAAACACACTCCATGTGTTTGGGACTCAAGGAGCAATAGGACAGGCCAACAGAGGCCAAACCGTCCACAGGCCATTGATAGAGAACCATTTAGTCCAAAAAAGCCAGAAAAGAGGTAAAGAAAGAATGATCAACATCTGAAACCTCGGAGTAGAGGTAAATACAAACACATTTTTATTTAATACCCAAAGTCCCTCATGCATCTGACAAAAAACATGCTTGATCCCTGACCCTTCTACTCATTTAAAAGAAATAGAGCCAGGAATTTCTAGGCAGTCCCACAGCCAATTTATATAAATTATATATAGGGAGCAGGCATATATTCAAAGGATAGCTATATCCTGGGATCTCAACAGTAATAAATACTCTACCCACCCAACAAACTGTCATACTGAATTGTGTGAAGTTTTAGATAGGAGATGCCTTTCACATGACTAATGCAAGAACAATGTAGACAACATATGTTATGATTTAAACAACAGTTTTCCTTCTTTCTGTGGGGAAAAGCAAGTACATTTTTGCTGAACAAAACCTGAGCATGGTGTTGATCAAGGCTTAAATTAACCTTGCTGTCAGCCAGGTCTGTTAAGAACCAGTATTTATAAGTGGAAACCAGTGTTATGAGAAAATAAGGAAAGAGAATATGAGGTTGCCATGTGTATTTATATACATATTTCAGGCTCTAGATATCCAGCTTAGTATTTTAGCTGACTTGTGGTGGCTATCTGGGTACATGCTCTTAGCCCAGAGCAAATTAAAACTAATTGAGCCTGTTTACTTCTTAGCCTAAGGCTAAACTCCCTTTGCCACCAACCAGCTGCACACAGCCAGCAATTACCAACTTGTGTCAGCAGCATCATCAGTGGCACTGAGAAGGTGAACTGTGATCACTTGTGCAAGAAGGAAAAGGCAACAAAACCCTCCTGGATTAACAGGATTTGCTCATCACGCAGCTGGCAACAGACTTGTGGGACTCACTGCCACAGGATGTGTGGATGCAAATGTCTCCTGGAGGGCCTGGGCAAGAACTTGAATGAGAAAATTCACTGGAAATTGTTTAATGGACAAAAATGATATCCAATTCAAGAAATGCCCAGAGCTACTCATGATGCAAAATGCTGAGGACTGTGAAAGGATTACACACGCTTGCTCAGCCTGTCCTCTTCCTCAGGCATCCAGTGATGCTGCTGTTGGAAAGAGCTGCTGGGCTCTACACACCCTCAGTCTGATGCAGTTCTCACCTTCCTGCATTCCACCTAAGCCCTAAGGATCAGCTTTGCTCTGGTGGGTGAATTTCATCCTGTTAGCACAGCCAGTCCACCAGAGAGCCATGATGCCACTTGAAGAAAAAGTTCTTTTAGCACACATTTTAGCTGGTAATAAGTTTGAAAGCAAATCTGCAAGTCCATGTTGATTTCTTGGTGCTATCAGAAAGATGTCTGAACCACTCTTGAAACTGTTTATAAGCCTGTTTACTGAGCTAAAACTCTCATTCAATAGCCCTTTCCATATCTACATCTAAACTGCAGATCTAAGGAATTAGTGTTTTGGCAAAGTAATCAGGTGAAAGCAGCTCCCTTACTGCATTCAGCACCAGTTATATAACATGATATTATAGAGTTTAATCAACTAAATTGTGCTGTGTTATGGGACTGATAAATATGAGCTCAGAGCTTGCAGTGTCTGGGAATAAACAATCATGCTAGGTGGATTTATCTCCCATATTTCACAGCAGACAAAGGCTACCATTAGATGTGTTTTTTCTCTCTTTCAAAGACTTTCCAATGGGAAAGTCTAATCCAGAGATAACATCTTTTATTAGTAGAGCGTGACATGCAGTCTTCTCCATCTGCCACAGCTTGGAGTAGTTGAGAGGATGGAGGCCAGGTCACATCAATACTGGCATGAAACCCGTCCCAGCCGTAAACCAGCTGCCTCAGTACAACCAGGTATAGACTGGGGAGTCCTGCTGCCATTCCTCCCCAGATTGTGACAAATATTACTGCCAAACAGCTTTAATAATAGTGACTCAGGTGAGCCTGTGGGAACTATGGAGCTTCACCTTTGGGCTGCAGCAAGGGCTGGCCACTAGTGAGCAAGCCATTGCTAATGCAGTATAATCTCTTTTACATGAAGATGGGATGGGATGTCACCACAGCAGTGTTAGTGATGCATTTGTTACAAGATACCTCTTGGTGCCTGAAAGACAACACAAATGACTATGACAGTCGGACAGAGCTCTGCTCTGCTGTTTGTGACACCACTCAGGGTGACCAGCAGCAGGGAAATGTCAGAACCTCTCTCAGCAGCACACTGCCTGCTAACTGGCTGGTGCAGTGATCTTAATAAAGCCAGACACAGATCTTTATTTCTGTCTTCTAAGGCCCGCTGTGTTATGCCAGGCTGCATTTCCCCGCGTGTCAGCGTCAGGCTGAGAACATGGGATTGCTCTGGGAGCGCCATGCTGGCCAGTGTGAGAGGTACTGCATGGATGGAGTCAGGGTGCTGGGACAACAGCCTTGCTCTGGGGGAGGCACCCAGTGCTGCAGAGGTGGTTGTTAGCTCAGACTGCAGCTGGAGCCCCGCTGCAGCAGATGCTGCACCAGCAGCCAGGGGAGGCTCACCTGCATGAAGGGAAGGAATGCACAGGGAAGCTGGGACACAGGATCTGGGTAAAATCCAGGTAATTTTCCCAGCCTGAAGCAGAGCTGGAGACACTGCCTTCAGCCTGCCTTGAGTCTGTGTGTTTCCTCAAGTGAAAACATCCCGAACTCACTCCTCTCACTGCCCTGACCTTTGTTGTCATGCCAGATCCGCACTTTACAGAGGTCTCCCAGGCTCAGCATTTCAGAGAAGCTGAATTCATCCATCTGGTTCCTCTCAAACTTGTTAGACTTGTTGGACTCCTTCAGAGGCAAGGTACCACTGTCCCCATACTCCCCGAACAGGATCAAGGACACGTTGGCGTCGGTGCCTGCTCCTGCAAGGAGAGAGCAGAGAGAAATGCCATGGGTTACCCTGCCACGTTGGGCTGACTCCCAGCCCCCAGCTGCATGGGGAGGCAGCAAAGGCAGGCTGGAAGAGGCTGCAGGGTTGGTCATGTTTCTCTGGGCACCACCAACGCATTTCAGTGGATTCGTGCAGGATCCTGCAGGGAGGACACCAGCTTTTCCAGTCCATCCCACAAATACAGCTGGATGTTCTGCCCTGGCACTTGATGTGTGGTGACTGTGGTGATGGCAGTGCTCATAGGAAGTAGAAATTTCTCTTCCTGATGGAGGACTGTCCATCACAATGCTTTGCAGGGAATGTCAGGGTAGTAACTCCTATCACACCAAGGTAGCTTGGGAAGTGACTTATCCAGCAGAATCCAGCACTCTACTAAAGAGTGTTAAAGAACATATTTTATAACTTCTCTAGCCAAAAAACATTCTCTTGGGCCTCCCACTGAAGCACAGCCCTTTTCAACACTCAGTCATTCCCTCCTGCAGCGCACAACCTTCTCCAAGCAATTATGGCACTCAGGATCCTTCAGCTGGGGTCTGTCTCCTCCTGCTCTCCCGGTGTTTGATGGTACAGGGATTTCAGAGCTACGTACAAATCATCGACCAAGCCACTGTGGCATCTCATGGCCTACTTCTCTCAACACCCAAGAGATCTTCCTTCTTTATTGCTCGTTCTCAAAATATTGTCCCTGCAGCAGTTACTGGAAAAAGTCCCAGTTTCTCATGCAACACTTTGCCCTACCAACTTCCCCCTTTTAATTGTTTATTTATTGTTTTATTTATTTTTTGAAATTTAATTTCCAAAATTATCTTTATTACTCAATATTGAGTGTCATTTTTCCTCCGCTTTCCATATTTTGCCAAAGAGAACAGCCATGCTGTTTTCATGACTTTTGGGGAGTTCAAGGCCAAACCACCACCTGCAGTGACCTTACACTTCAGCTGCAATTCTTACATTTTCACCTGGCACTATTTATAGTTCAACCAAAACGACTGCATTTTAATTTTGACGCTGTAATATAAAAGCAGATTCATGGAGAGAAATAAGATTACACATGGGCAGACTGTCATTGCTGTGTCAGAACCAAGGCCCTTAAATTTTGGAAAACGAAAATGAGACCGTCAAGCTCAAATCTGCCGTACAAAGAAACTCAGCATCTGCTGCCCTTGTTTGGATAGCCCAGCTTTGAAAGTCTAACCTCCTGCCAGGCCCTTTCTCACACAAAAGTATCATAAGTCCACTTTGAGCCACACAGACAGTATTTCCCACAGCTCCATTCAAACACAGTGCAGAGACAAAGTTATGGGGACTCTAGGTCTCTGGAGAAAAGCTCCACTTCCATAGGATTATTACTTGAATACAGAAGTTAGGAAGAAATCACATTCTTATCATGAAATCATGTTCTTATGGAAGGACCAGGAAAAAAAAAATTGCTAGAAGAAAAAGAGGAGAAAAAGAGTCATATAGAGGAAAGGCAAAGCAACATGTGGTGCCCATGCGAGAAGCTGCCCATGTTAAATTGGGGCTAATTTTCAACAGTTCCCTGGGAAGGGTTTAAGTAGGAAGAGAAAGCATCAGGGATCCAGGCAGTTCATCTGGCAGTACTTTTTATGACCTCAAAGCTTGCTGAGGTGAGGAACAAAGCAAACTGAAGTCCATTTCCTTGCAAGGAGCAGGCTCCTAATTAATGCCAGGTCTCAAAAAACACAGAACCAACTGTTTCTTAGCAAAACCGTCCCCGCAGGAAGAAGCTTATGAAGGTCTCATGCTGTGACATTTCCCTCACAAGCAATTAGCAGGAGATGGGAAAGTAAAAACCAGAAATGTTAAATCAATGTACATTTCACTTGCTTGTGTCTGATATTTTTTGTTGTTGTTTTGTTGTTGCCAGTTCCAGGAAACTGTCAGGCACATTTAGGAACTGTAAAAACTTGACAAATGAAGAGATGAAGGTACTGTGTTTGCACTAGCCTTAACTGGTGATGAGTGCAATAAGCTCGTGGATTGATACTGGGATCTGCAGAACTGAGCTGAACTTCATCATCAACACCCTAAACAATGGCAGAGTGTTTCCTCATCAGCTTTCCAGCTAAGGGAAGATTTGTTTGAGTGGATGACATGCTGAATGACAGAATTCCAGCCCAGATGGACCTTGAGAAACCTGAGAACCAGGCAAGCAGAAATCCCTTGGAATTCAGCAAGGGGAAATGCAAACCCTCTGTCTGGTCTGGAATAAACCTTACACATGCCGGGAAGTTGAAGATGACCCATTTTACAGCCGTACCATTCATATTCTGATTGGAACCAAGCTAGCAGGAAGTTTCCAGTGTTCAGTGCAAAACACCACTTTGAATTCCTGGGTTGTGTCAGGACACTGAGAAGAGCTCAGAGGATGGCTGCTAAGATGGATGAGAGCTGGGACACACCACTGTGAGGAGGAGCCCTGAGAGGAGTTGGGGCAGGTGCACGAGGGCCCCGTGGGCAGGGACAGTGGTAATGGTGACAGGGCCATGTACTGTGTCATGTCATACCCCAAAAAGCCACAGCCACAAGTTGCTGTGGGGATTTGGGTTGGGAATGAGGAAAATAACAAATTTCTTAGGAACATGGTGCAGGACTGGGTGCAGATGCTGGGGGAGGAGGTGGTATCACTGCTCCTGGAGTTGTCCAGTGTTTGGCTGGGCACTCTGAGCTGGGTTGCCCTCGTGCTGGCAACAATCCTTAGAGAAGGAAAACGGGTGAAATAACCTCCAGAGGACCCTTTCAACAGAAATATCTATGATTATATGATTCTTACTGAGCAGATGCTTCATTTTTAAACAAATTCTGGGTTTGAGTACCAGCCTTCCGAGGCCAAAGAATGTTCTTCTTCTGACATAAAAAAGACCTATAAAAGGCACTAGGAACTGACACCAACTGTCCTAAATTATGTAATTTGTAGGTTGGAACTGAGTTGACAACATCCTAATTAATCTTATAACAGCAGAGATAAGAACCTTCTGCTTCATTAATGCTTAGAAAATGAGAAAGCAGTATTTATTCACTCTCCATCTTTACTGCATTAACATGTACATGATGTCTGCATAGAGAAAGTAAAAATTAACCAGCCAAAGAACATTTTTGTGCCTCAGAAAGAGCCATCAGGTGGTCTGGCTCTATTTCACCTGTGGCTATGGGTCCTGCCTTGAAGAAAATCAGATTGTGCTTTACATCTGAGATCAAGGCATTGGTTTTAACCAGAGATTACCCATCTGACTTGGGAGGTGTATGCCCTAACAACCTCTTCTTATCTATGTGTAGTCTGAGAGCCGTCTGAGGTACTGCTGGTGGTGGAAAAGAGGTGATTTGAGCTTTGCAGGAACAGAGTTGTTCCCTCTTGCAAACTCTGAAGGTTACATTTTCACTGGAGTAGAGTGATTTTGTGAAAGACAAACTGTAAATTAAAGGTTTCTTTGAGGAAAATGTAAAACAGTGCTGATGTTAAAGATGTGTGTGTGCTGGGGTGGAAATAGCTTTCTAGTTTGCTGCAGAATCTTCTTTGTGGGATTAATTTTCCCTGACTTTAGCCGTGTAACCTAACTTGATCATTAAGTCTCTGTCTGCATCTGATGAAGAAAAACTCCAGAGGCAGAGACCCTCAGGAGAGTTATCCAGACCACTGATGAAGACTTCTCTTCCAGATGAATTAACTAGAGACAGTCTAGACTAGGAGGAACTAAAACCAGAAATAAAATTTTTCAGAGCTGATGCAATGAAAAACTTTATACCTAGAAATAAACACACTTGATTCCAGTCCTTTTGCAGTATTGCTGTTCCTCGACAATGTCAGTGTGGCAGGAGATGATATAACATGTTTAAACATCACCAAGGATAAAATGTCTTTCTTCCTGAATTGGCCCAACCAAGAGTAATTGTAGAATACATAATGATCAAAAAAGGGAGATGGTTCATGACTTGCACCTGCTTTAGATAAGCTGGACAAAGTTCAGAATTATGTCAGTGAGATGTGTGATCTAATCACAAACAGACACTCTGAAACCTCTCTGTAATCTGCTCTTTGCTACTGGTTGTCGCTGTTCATAATGAAATAAAATGTTTCTTCATTAATACCCGTCATCCTTCATTCAGTGGGAAGGGCAGATCTGTCTGCTGCTGCTGTCATCTTCTATTCTCCTCTCATTTCTATTTCCATCACCTTTGTGAGTTAGGGCTGGTTTTCACAAAAAAGGTCACAGAAAGATCTACTATTATATTAGATGGATGGCCAGATACATAAACAAATCTCCCTCTCTCTCCCCCTCTTTTGTTTTTTGCATTTCACTACATGTTTTTCAGACAAGCAGCCGGAAAAGAAGATAGATAAGCGGTGAGGTGCCACAAAGATGGTTTGCCAGAGAAATTTTGATATTCTTAGATCAAACCTTAGAAGCTGCATAAATTTCCACTGATAAAACCAGGGGGGAAAAAAAAATAAAAGCAGCAACAAAGGAAATAAAGAAAAGATATTTAGAATGATATTTAGAGGTCAGGAGCTGGTTATGTGCACTGGTATGACAGAATCTCACTTGAGGACCAACCTTTGAAACAAGGTGTCTTCAAGACAAGGTCTGGCTTGCCCCATCTTGGCACAATTCACCTTGTATGTGGCAGCAGATTTCATCAAACAGCCTGACAAAATTCGCCATGAAAAGAGGCAGTGATCCCAGGAAGTAACATTGAAACCCCATTTCTTGGCTCTTGAAGCTCCTTCTGTATACTGCACTCCACCTCTTCTCTCTGGTGTGCATTTTGGAATGGTTTATCTCACAGCCTGAGATAAATTGTCTCCAAACACTTTGAAAGGTGGGTGAATTATTGCTGTCTGCTTTAGGCAAGTCACACAGTGCTGACTGAAAACCTGAAGCACACCAGCTCTGACCACCCTACGTGGATGGACCTGACGAAAAAAGAAAAATGTGGCTGCTGACCTTTGCAGCTTGGTCTGATAATAATTTCTGCTAGGGTGTCTTCAGAAGAATCAAAGAGAGGCCAGACCTGGGCCTTATGTCTAAATATGTTATTCCCAGAGCTCAGATGAGAATGAGTCTCTTAGACACTGCTATGGTGAACAGCCAGCCAAAATGGTTGTATTCCAGCTAAACAATGCTTTTTCAAATGTAATTTCAAATGAAGCAGATGAGTTTTTTTCCCACTGCTAAAAAACAAACTTCATACTAGAAAACTCATAAAATATCTAGCAAGGACCAACCTCCAATGTCACTGGTTTTAACCTGAAGAGTGTATGTGGTGTCCTCCATCATCTGCTCGTCATTTATGACAGCTGGCATCTCACACACCAGGCTTCCCTTGGCATTTTTTAGCTTGGACAGCCAATCCCCATAGGTAAATGTGGCCACTTCTTGATTAGTAAGATTCTTCAGGGTGATCTGTGAAGAGCCAAAATGGGGAGAAAAAACTTGCTTACTCTTTGAATGAGGGCAAATTTTAAACTTACCGAATGCATGATCTGGTAGGACATGGGGAAAGCTTGGCCATAGGTCCAAAGCCCACACTGAACTCTTCTGGGATAAATGGAGCTCTCTTTTATTTGCTGAATTTGTTGGTTTGTTCTGAGAAACGGTCTTCACAGTATTATGATGCTTTTTCAACCATTAGGCAAAGCAAAGGGATAAATTTGCTCCTCAGACCTAAGTTATGGACAAAGGTGATCTCTAAGAGAGTCAGACCTCTCCTGCGAGCCAGCATGGAATTCACTCCAAAGAAGTAACAGAGTTATTAAAAACTTCACTATCTCTCCTCAAAACACTCAGCATCTTTCTTTTGCCTGTCTCCTTTGCGTGAACCAGCAGAAATAATTGTAGGGAAACACAAGCCCAAACAAGTTAAAACAAGGCACAAGATAAAATTAAGCCAGCAAAAACTTAATATTTCACACACTTCTCCCTCTGGGAAAAGGTGACAGAACAAACAGTATGCAACAGATATTAGTCACACTATCTAAAGTGTCATGGAAGCAGCTCAGATGCTGTGGTGATAAGAACAGAATGGGAATGAATTCAGAGCAACTCAACAAGTTACTCCAACAAATGCCTAATAAAATACCCACCTTTATGTCCCTTGTTGTGTGTGGGCTCAGTGGAGCATCAGTCAAGTGGGAGAAAAGCATTACACCTGCCTAGAGCAAAAACCTAGCAGTAAGTTCTCACTAAATTGGGGGAGCTGAAGGGAAGGGAGAAGACAGTGCTGTAAATTGCCATTTGTGTTACCATCTAACAGGAACAGAGACTGTACCTGTGTGTAGCAGTGCATCAGAAAACTGCCTCCACAAAGGCCATGGAAACATGAGCCCAGACGTGCCAGAGAAGTGTGGCATAGTATTAGGGAGGAATGAATGAGGAGCAGTGGGAAATGTTGCATTAAAAGGATAATGGAGGTCTGTAGCCCTACTCATCACTCCACACATGGCTGCATGCCATGCAAAGCTGTGTCCAACTGGGCTGTGAAAACTTCCAAGGGTGTAGATTACCCAGACACTCTGAGTCCTCATCCCAGGGCTTCACAACTCTCATTGAGAACATTTTATTCTTTATCTCTGATAAGGGTTTTCCTCAGTGCAACTCATGTCCATTGCCTCATGACTTTTTGCTGTCCACCTCTGAGAAGAGTCTGGATCAATGGTTTCTGTAACCTCCTTTCAAGCAGCAGAAGACTGTAATTCTATTTCCCCTCAGCCTTTTATTGCCATGGCTTATAAACTCTATTTTCCTCAACCTTTCCTAGCATGCCACATGTTTCCTATAGCCACTTGACCACCTCAGTGCCCTTCCACCGCATGCTCATATATCAGCTTAAGGGAAAAAAACTCAGTAAAACTTATACTGAGATAAAATGTGCTCAAATTCTGTCTTCAAACTTCAGGTGTCCCAGCCCACAGCCTTCTGTTGGCCCCAGCCAAGCCTTGCTGGAGTCTTCAGCTGTTCAAAAGAAGAATACTGCTCTAGGTTATAAAAATATTGTTTTAAAGAAGGCAGCGGCTACACCGAAGATGAGCAGTAAGCCATGCTGTTTGTGCATTGAGTGGTTCTGTGAGTAGGACACTCATCTGGGGTTTTCATCCTGCCTGATGCTAAAGAGGGATCTGTGACACAGCACCTTCACCCCCCTGTCCCAGGGGGACAGGACATTTTTGGCTGTAGAAGATGTCCCACTTTTCTGAAAAGCTGCTTATTCATAGCCACTGACACTATTACTTTGTGGTCAGAAAAACTGTGAGTCAAGAGATATTGAATCAGACCCTTGCTTTGAACCAAGCAGAAATCAGGTCTCTCCTGCCCCAGTTGGTGGCCTTTCTGCTGGGGCACAGAAGTGTCCTCTCTCAAGGATGTGTGGACTCCTCATAGGAGTCCAACCCAGAAAGTTTTCTTTGCAGAACTGAACTGTGAGTAATGTCAGGTTGACTGAAAATGTCTATTTTCCCCTCACCCCAGTGCATAAAATCCATGCTGTTTCGAAAAAGTTCAGCCAGCAGTACCTCTGCCCTGCTTGGGAATGACAGTGACACTGTCAGTAGCAAAATGTCCTGAGCAAAGCTTGCAGGCAGTTATCAGGGAAGCAGTGGGGATAGAAGCAGATTAGAGTTGTCAGCTGGAGAGCACTCACAGACACAGAGGTCAGGCCCCTCACAAATACCCAGCCCCGGTCAGTGCTCCAGATGCTGTCTGAGAAAAAGTGTCTGGCTAATAAAGCTGCTGGAGCAAAATGCCAGCTTTTTCCATCCCTAGCCACTCACCTAGGATGTGTGATTGCATCTGTGTGCATCTTACTGTAAGCAGTAAGGACAGAAACAGAGATCTGCCCCTGGTATCCCGTTCTGGGGTGGTGCTTCAGGAGGAGCAGACTGGGGAAAGATCCATTATATGAGAGTTTTTTGCCCAAGGGATATCAGCCCAGAAATACAACTGTATCCTGGGCTGATCCCCCAGCGTGGGCAGCAGGGGAGGGGGGATTGTGCCCCTGTGCTCAGGTGAGACCCCACCTGCAGAGCTGCCCCAGCCCTGGGCAACAACAGCACAAGGACGTGGAGCTGCTGGAGCCAGCCCAGAGGAGGCCACGCAGCTGCTGCCAGGGCTGGAGCCCCTCTGCTCTGGAGCCAGCCTGGGAGAGCTGGGGCTGCTCCCCTGCACAAGAGAAGGCTCCAGGGAGAGCTGAGAGCCCCTGGCAGGGCCTAAAGGGGCTCCAGGAGAGCTGCCCAGGGACTGGGGACAAGGCCTGCAGGGACAGCACACAGGCAATGGCTTCCCAGTGCCAGAGGGCAGGCCCAGCTGGGATATTGGGAAGGAATTGCTGGCTGGGAGGGTGGGCAGGCCCTGGCACAGAGTGCCCAGAGCAGCTCCCTGCTCCCTGCAGATCCCTGCAGTGTCCAAGGCCAGGCTGGACAGGGCTTGGAGCAGCTGGGACAGTGGAAGGTGTCCCTGCCATGGCAGGAGGGTAGAATCAGACAATCTTTAAACATCATTTCCAGCCCAAACTATGATTCTGTGGTCACAGCAAGGGACACAGCAGCAGCAGCAGTGGCAGGCTAACCTCTGGGTCACAATTGCTACTCACTTTCCCAGTATGGACCCCCTAAATGCTGGTCATCCAGCCCAAGCACATCATGCAGTCAGTGGTGGGACCTGGGTGTCCCCAGGGAAGCACCACATTCCACCTAAACTGGAGAAAGGTGAGGAGCTTCTTGAGGCATCACCTCCTCTCTCAGGTCTGCCCGTCTCATGCCTACAGAGGAGGCCCGAATAGTTTGTTGAGAGGGGTGAAAGCTGAATGTAGCCTTTTCTGTGACTAAAATAGCAGAAAATTAATCCCATCCTGCAAGGAGATGTTTGTGGGTGTTGCACACACAGAGGATGATGCAGGATTTTGGTTTCAATCAGGAGGGTCAAGAAAGCCATCTCAGTGAGCTGAGCTGAGACTATATTTAATTTCTGCCTGCTCCTCTCAGTAAAACTAGCTACAGCTTGGCAATGAGACCACTACTTTGAATGGCTCCTAAGCTATTTTTTAGGCTACCTAGAACTTGCTGTGGGCATCCAGTGTGCTTTCCAGCTCAAACTTTCTAGCTAATTATGCAAGGAGCTTAACTGGGCTGTAGAACATCAATAAGCCATGAAAAGAAAGTGGCAGAAGTGTGTATGAATAACACATTGATAATTTACTTTGTAGCTGAGCAAATATAGTAGTTGACAGGAACATTAAACCAACAATCTGAAATTAATTGCGCACTGTCTTCTGCAATGGAAAGGTTTGACATGTCCGATTATTTGATTTAGCCCTACCCAGTCTTTTTCCAGATGTCATGTAAAACATGCTCCACAGGTTCTCCTACTCTGCTGACACCAAAATACACAGCTCCTGGAATTCACCTTTAAAGGCTCAAACACAGGATTTTATGCTTCTGTTGCATGTCATTATTCTTCAACCCGGGAACTTCTGACTGTAAAACAAAAAGACTTCTCCCTTTTGCAAAGAATAAAAGTCAGCTTCAGCTATACAATTCTCAATTCTCAATAATAATTCTCAAATTCTCTTAATCTTCTTTATACAAAGGAGAAAAGACTGAATAAAGACCGAGTCCCACATGCAGGATTATTTGTGACGTTTGAATGCAATGCAATTAGTGCTTCATTAAGGCAGCTTCTTATCTGTCTGGCTTTGACAGCACAAAGTGACATTAAAATTCTGAGGGAAGCAATTCTGCAGAATTCAACAGTCTCATAATTCCTGCTATTTCACTGAGCTTTCATCCCTTCTTGTTTCTAGCTTTTTGACTTCATAGCTAAGACACTGGGCAGCAGGTGAAATCATCACAAGGACTGAGAAAGCCGCTATCCCAGAAAGAGATTGCCAAAGTATGCATTTAGACAAGTTTCCTAATAAGAGTAATTTATTTTTTAATGCTGAGAGGAGTGAGGCCCTGGCACAGGGTGCCCAGAGAAGCTGTGGCTGCCCCTGGATCCCTGGAACTGTCCAAGGCCAGGTTGGATGGGGCTTGGAGCAACCTGGGATAGTGGAAGGTGTTCCTGCCCATGGCAGGGGGTGGAGTGGGATGAGCTTTAAGGTCCCCTCCAACCCAAACCATTCTGTGATTCTATGATTTTGTTCCCTGGTTTTTCAGAAACACAGAGCAGTGTCATGGTAGGCTGAGGTGGAAGAACATGATATTCAGCATTAGATCAGTGCAAAAGAACCCCACTCTTATGTCCCTCCCAGCAGTGGTGTGATTAGAAAGCATTGCTCAGCTTTGGAGAACATTCACGATGCATTTTTGGGCATAGTAATGATCAATAATGTTCATTTTGTTGCAAAAAATCACTAATCAAATTTTGTTCCCTCTAGAGGTTTAGGTACGAGCATTTTAAACTTATTGCTACTCTGTGGTGCAGTTTGAATTTTCAGCAGCAAGTTCATTACTTCACTGAGATTCTGAATGAAAATTTTGTGTATTTTATGTAGACAGAAAAAAAAATATGACTACTTGCCTGCTTGTAAATTGAATCTTTTGGCTGTGTACAGAATCATTGATAATTCATGCATTTTAATTGGTATTTATGCATTTCTATATCTGGTGAACTAAAAGCAGTATAAATTATGGCTAGCAACAGTTTACCAAAAGACCAAAGAGAATTAAAAAGATCATTTATTGTTAGTTTAATAGAACAAGAAAACTGAGAATATCATGTAGATAAATGGAGCAACAAATGGTTAATTACGGGGTTGATGGCTTAATCTAGCTTCTCATTTCACTGTGCTAGTTAGCACTAACTGTGAACCATCTGTCTGAGAGTTTAGCACTACCCCCACAAGTATTTCATTATGCAGTCTTAATATGCACTTTTGACAGAAATGGAAATGGGCTCCGATCAGTTTTCATGTCACACCAGGCTACGTAAGTTTTTAAGGCTGGAATACAAATCAGAGAACAAAAATCCTTCCTCCCCTCTTCTAGAACACCTCTGTAAGCCGCCCTCTGCCTGGGAATGCAAATGCTGTGTTTACCTTTGCAGGGAAGGTGGGAAAGAAAACCAATAAATACAGTTCTCTACGTAACACTGGAGTTAAAAAACTCTCTGTGATCTAAGAAAAACAGAAACTATGGGCATCATTTCCATAAGCCCCTAAAACCATAGAATTAAAAAAGAAGGTTTGGGTTGGAAGCAACCTTAAGTGCCTTCCAGTTCCACTCCCTGCCATGGGCAGGGACACCTTTCACTGTCCCAGGCTGCTCCAAGCCCTGTCCAGCCTGGCCTTGGACACTGCAGGGATCCAGGGGAAGCCACAGCTGCTCTGGGCACCCTGTGCCAGGGCCTGCCCACCCTCCCAGCCAAGAGCTTCTTTCTAATGTCTAATCTAAATCTCTCCACTTTTTGTGTATAACCATTGCCCCTCCTTCTGTCACTATCTGTCCATGTAAAAAGTTGTTCTTCCTCACTATTACAAGCCCTCTATTAAGTCTGTTCTCAAGACCTGTTCTTGTTGCCTGGTCCACCTTCTTAGTGTATTCGGTATAGCTGGAAGGTGGCTATAAGCCTCCTGGATAGGTCCAAATGAGTGTCCTCTGTGCCAACTTCCCTGGGAAATCTTTGCTTTTGGTAGGACAGTCCATCAGGCCGAGAATTCCTGGACAGACAAGGCAACAGGAAAGGGGGGGCACAATTAAAGATGCAGCCGTCCCTTGCCTTTGTGCTGCTGCTGATTCATGACTGCAAGACCTGGAATGTCTCTGGATGAATAAGCTTTATTTGATTTCATTTTATACAAATATGATTTCTAAAACTCAGGGGAAAGCATGTGAGAAATTACAAAGGGAGTTTGACCAAGACATCTGAATCAAATCAGACAACAGATTGAGTTATTCCTTAGGCACAGAGAGAAAAACTCTGCATCTGTGGCATCAATTCTAAAGATATGTGCTGAAGGTCTGATCTTCTGAGGAGCTGCAGAAGCATCATCATAAAATCATAGAATGTTAAGGGTTGTAATTGGTTTGGAATGTAATAGGTTTTAAACTCATCCAATCCCACCCCCTACCGTGGCAGGGACACCTTCCACTGTCTCAGGTTGCTCCAAGTCCCATCCAACCTGGCATTGAACAATTCTAGGGATAGGGCTGCCACAATCTCCCTGGGCACCCTGTGCCAGTATTTTGCTGCCCTCACAGTAAATAGTTTATTCCTAATACCCAGCCTGAATTTCCCCTTTCGGTTCCCCTACTTCCCCAGCTGCTGGGAAAAAATTTAGAAGTGGAAATGTTGAAGTAAAAATGGCACTGCAGCACAGAAATTCTTCTGAAAGTGAAGTCCATTGCTTCACTGAAAATTGGTGGCTATATAGAGTCAGTGTTTAGAAACACATTATCTTTGTGAAAAAAGTCTGCTGTAAATTAGTCAAATAGGATAAAGGACCCAGTGAAAAAATCATGCAGAGTTCCGTTTGACCATGGTTAAGCTACTAGGTCTTAAACTGTTCTCACAAAAAGGTCAAGATACAGAAATCCAGCAGGATGTTGACACCAGGAAAAGCGTGGCAAAGGAAAATGGCAGAGATGGGTTTCTCCATTAATGACATTTCATGGTGTGTAATCAGCACATCTATCCCCCTCTATCTTAGAAAAATCACTGTAGGGACCCAAAACAAGCAAACTACTTTTGGCTTCTCAGATAGAGGTGATCCTTACAAGGAGCTGGTGGTTTGACAGCACAGATAGAGACAAGCACTGTACTTTTGTGCAAGGTAGGACATCAGGGAAAAGTACCATCAATTTGCATGCTCCATTATCCAAAATGCAAAATAAAAATGACACATTACTTGTATGGACAAGAAAATAAATAAATGTGTATGCTGGAGGAGAAGGAAAGAGGAGAGATGGGATGATCCAGCTGAATGGATGGATTACTTGGAAATGTCCCACCTGGCCTAGGGTGTCTCTGTCTGGTAGACAAACATCCACCCTCCCAGGGATTTGGATTCCCACATGGCAGAGACCTGCAGGGGCTAAGGGTGCAACCCAGGGACCCAAAAATATTGCCCTGGTGAGCCCTACCAAGGCTCTTGTGCAGAGGAGAGTGCGATCTAACAGCAGAATCTGTGGTGAAACCATAGAATCATTTAGGTTGGAAAAGATGTCCAATATGATCACGTCCACCCATTAAGCCAGCACCACAGTGATCATTGTTAAACCATGGCCCACAAATCTGCCACACCCAGCCTTTTGAACACTTCCAGACACGGTGATTCCACCACAAAAAAGAGCTCTAAAACACAGCTTTTCCCTGTGCTCTCTTCTTTCTTGACTCAATTCCTGCAGGGAAAAACCATGAGAAACCAAACAGAAAAAATACAGAAAATTAGTAAAAAACTAGTCCCTTGGTGCCTTTCTCCTCTTTGCCAGGGGCTGAGAGGCTGCAGAACATGCAGGCTGTGAGAGACCCGTGATGCCAAGAGCTTTACCCTTTCCATGAACCAGTGCGGGCGCGTCCCCTTCCCGTCCGTCCGGATCCTCATCTTCCTGAGGGGTGCAATGTCGGCAATCTCCATGATGAAACTGTCCTCCTGGCCCCGCTCAAACCTGCAGGGATTGGAAGACCAAGGAGGTTTTCCTGCTGCTTTACAGCCTCTCTGCATCTCCGTCCCGTGCCGCAGCCCTGGCCATGCCAACACCCTCAAATCAAAAGTTTATGAGTGTTCTTTACTGGACTTGAGCTTTCCTGCGCGACAATCACCAGCCACTGTGCTGTTGGCAAGACACCTCAGTGCAGATTTGACAGGGATTCCTCCTTCCCTGGAAAATACAGCCCACCTGGAGCTGCTCCAGGCAGCCTGCAGCATACACTGCCGTTCTGTTTGTAACCAGAACAATAGCGACTCACATCAGGCTTCTGCATGTTGCTTCCCTCCTGGCAGCTGCCCACTTGGCTGTCCTTGGCCCATTACAGCTAGAAGGCAAAATAATTTTGCCTCATCTCCTTCCCCTGAGGTGCAGCACAAAACTTTGTGTTTGCCATGGAGAGAGGCAGTTGCTGCAGCTCAGCTAAATGCGGCACCGGGATCAAAGCCCAGTGCCCAAGTTTAGTAAGCACAGGCAAATTGTGTTAGAATGAAGACAAAACCAACCTGATGAAACTGGGGGACTTGGATTTGCAAACTGTCTCTGCCTCTGGTAAGAACCAGGGTGGTTTTGTGTAAGCTTGCGTGAAAGACCTTCCCCGGTGCGTGGCTGCTGTGTACAGGCACGGGGATGTGCAGGAGCTGCTCATCCATAGCAATCGGCAGGAAGCAGGAGAAGGGAAAAAACAGCTAACATGTGCTTCCCAAAGAAGATTACATTGGCTTGGATTGCACCTTCCCTCCCTCCTGGCATCAGTGGTGTTGGGAGGAAAGCCTTGCTTCAGTGGAAGTGCTGCCTCAGGCTCAGTGTTGTTCTGTTCTAAAACAAGTGTATCTTCCAGTTTGCTCCCTCAAATACATGGAGACCTCCTGTGGTCTCAGAGCTGGGAATCTTATCCTTGCTAGGGAGAAAGGCAGACAAATCCAGGGGGTCTACCAAGCACATGGTGACCACTCTGCTGTTGAGGTTTCCCCTTCATGCAAACTTCTCCTTGTGGGGGAATTACCTGACCGTGCTGAGGGGTTTGGGAAGAGCCCTGCAAGATGTGGGCACTGCCATAACAGAAACAGTCCATAATGATGATATCTCATTCCTGGCAATGCACACAGCCTCCCATTGCTGTGCAGTGCCAGAATGTGGAGAAAAAAAAATAATTTTCTTTACCAACCTCTGTTCAGATTACCCCCCGCAGGATGAATGTGATTGTACTCACACCATTATCTGAGCATGCATAGCTGCAGATGTTAGTAATAGGGGTTGGCTCAAGCCTCTCAGTTTTCATCCAGACCTTGCTTCCTCTGCACCCCCAGAGGCATTTGGACAGGGCATTTTGGTTCCAGTCCATTTCTAGTTATTAAGGGTTATGTTTGCTCTCTGAAAAACTCCTTTTTCTTCTTATTTGTCTTTCTGAGGTACCAAATACTGAGGCAGCCTGTCTCACTGTAAGAAACAGAATGTACTTTTGTCCCTGAACTGGATTGATTTCCACATCTATTCAACAAAAAGGTGTGACCCTTCCAGTCTGAATTATCCTGTGATCCTATGATCAGTTTTTATTACAATCACTATTACCTACAAAGCTTCATAGAAATCTCTCACTCTGAGGCTTTCCGGGCTGAGCAGCTCTAAGTTAAAATGTCTGCTGGCAAAATAAAACATTCTTTATCTTCAGCAAATGCCTTGTTTGAAGTTTGTAACACTGATACTCATCTACTTCCAAGAGGGAAGTACTAGAGGGAAGTGATTGCCATAGTGACAAACTGGGTGACCCAGAAGCTCTTTGCTATGCCTAATTTATATGAAGATGAACATAAACCTGAAAGAAATTGAGATGGGAAGAAGAAGCCAGACAAGCTGACTGCTTGCTATTCCCTTTTCAGGACACTGAACCATTTATCTAAAGGATTTCATTAAGCTTTCCTACCCATGCCTGCCCTTATAAATATTTCCATTGCCCAGGGGTCTTGGCAATAAGTGTAATGTAGCGAAAATTGCCTTAAATCTGTGGCAGGTTAGACAGACAGTTCTCCGTAATGCACTAAGCTGCTGGGAGTGAATTGGCACTGGATGGCCCCAATAAAGATGAAGTGCCTTTTACCATTTGGTTGCAACAGCTCTCACCCATTCCTGCTCTGCTGGTGTAAGGGCTGGAGAGATTTCCCTGTGGAGAAGAGCCAGGAAAGCCTGTGCTGTTAACAGCTGGATGAAGACTAGTGGTAGTGGTGTGGAAACAGACAGGATGTGAATTTGGGGACATGAATGTCCTCTGCAGAGGGTGCTAATGAGATGACAAGAGCTCTGTACAGCTGGAGGTGTGATACAGAGCACCTCCAGCTAGCAGAAATGTGCCAGCAGAATAGCACAGCATCCTGGGGATATTAACATAAGAGTTGTGCCTTACAATTCCTTTTCTTTACACAGCCCCTGTGATTTTTCAACACCTTTCGCAGGTCCTCTACTGTCAGATGACAACCCAAGCAACTAATCACAAAGAGAATTCTCTGTTCTCCTGTGTTGCATTTTCAGACTCTTATAACAGAGGTTGTCCATCCCATCCATGTAGATAAATGGGACGTGTTTTTAGACGCTACAAAGTTTAGGGGTATGGCTTGCCCCAGATGTAGCAAAACTCCAACCTGGCTGCTGAGGGGCTGGAGGTGTCTTGGTCCCTGTCCTGGGGTGACTTTATGATGCTTGTATCCCCAGTTGCCTTGTTTATGTTACATATTAAGTCCTTTAAGACTGGCTCTGAGAGCGAAGTGGGGAGAAGAAGAAGCCGAAGTTTGTGTTGAGAAAGAGCCCTCACTGTCCCCCATCCTGTTCCTGGACTGCGGTGTCTGCAGCATGGACAGACAGCAGGACAGAGCTCTCCTTTGCTTTTAGTCAGTTTTTAGCTGGCTGAGGCAGAGGAGTTCCCAGGACTGTTTTTTGTCCTCTTTCTCAGGTCTGTTCAAACCTGTTCTGGACTGAAAACCCAAACAAATCCCAGGAGCTCCCACCTGTGGTGCTTTTTTCCCTTGGCCTCGGCCCTTTCCGGAGCCGGAGGGACTGATAAGAGACTGAGTGAGCCGAGCTACACCCCATGAAAAGGACTTTTCTGGATTTGCCATTTCGTCAAACAGCAAGAGGTTTTATTGTTTAATATTATTCAATTTCTGTAAAATAAACAGTTTTTTCTACTTTTCTCCAAGGAAATCTCTTTTTCCTGAACCAGCTGGGGGAGGGGCTGCTTGAATTTGCTTTCTGGAGGGACCCCATTTGGAGGTTCTCTCCCAAATTTTCCCTAAACCAGGACACTGCCCTTTAGAGATTTTTGGTTGGCACACCCAGACGTGAAATCTGTTTCATTTCCAAATCCAAACATCAGTGGTCCATTTTCTCACCCACCAGGACTGAGTGTTAGGATTAAATGAACAGAAGACAGGCCAGTTTGGGCTTGCCCAGGGTCTTGTAAGAGGGGTGCCACTGGTGGCCACACTCACTGGCAACCCAGGGGCATTGCCCCATATGTTGGATGTTCCCCTGTGATGGGGTAGCAGCAAGCCCCCAGAGCTGTGGTTTTCTGCATGACTCAGCTGTGTTTCTCACAGATATTTTAGTCAGCAGCACCTCTGCTGCATTTTTCTCACAACAAACAAGGCTCATGCTTGTTACTAACTAGACACATGAATCAATCTTAGCTATGTTTGTCCAGACACCCACTCTGCCACAAAAGCTTCATGTAAAACATTCCCTGAGCAAACACCTCTATGCAAGGTGCACATTATCCTGAGTTATCCAGTGTTCCCTCAGCAAGCTGAGCTCAAACTGTGTGGCCAAAACCTCCCTTCTGATGCTCTGTAGATGCCTCGCTGAATAAGCTCAGAACTGGTCAATTAATTAAATTTAAGCATGATGTCAGTAAAAGATGGTTCATTCTTGAGCATGCCAAAGCTTTCTGTACTAGGAATGTGCTAGGAAGGAACAAAAAAGCATTGGGAAATGGATGAGTGGTGGCATGTGTGGGTTTTCTGGCTTATGGAAGTGCTGGCATCAGGCTAGGGTTATAGTGTTTGTTAGCTGTTTCTGCTGAAGAAAACACGAGATTCCACATTTTTAGTAAAATCAGAGCATTCAATGCAGCATTCTGTGCCAACACCCATCCATTTCCCACTGCTCTCCTGGGCAATGTTCACAGTTCTTCTTGGAGACAATGCAGGACTTCATATTTTGTTGAAGATGTTTATCGATAAAGCCACTGAGGAACAGGTTAAACAAAACTTGCAGAAATGACAAAGGGTGGTTTCCCTGGATATACAGTGCTCTCTTTTCCTTTGCTTTGTTAAAAATCTGACAGAAGCACTTACAGGGAGCCCAGGTCTGAATCTATAATGTCAATGGGAGTAAATGTTTGTGTTTCAGTGGGAGCATGATCAAACCCCTGAGTGCTTCATGACCTGACACTTAAAATCTGTCATCACTTCACTTCTAACCAACAAAAATGACAGTTGCTGTACCTGTCTCCATTTTTTTCCAGCAGCATCTCCTCAGTGTTCCCATTGGATCCGAAGACAGTCATGAAAATACTGGCATCTGTACCGCCACTTTCGATGTCTCCAGTCACAACTGTGACTTCGTACAGGATCTGGTGAAGATTGAAAGGAATCAGAAGGCCTCAGTTAAACAGCTGTCCTTAACCCACGCCAAACAGGACATCAGACTTCCCTGGACATCTACTTCCTTGACAGGAGAGCTTCCAACACAGTTCTTGGTTCTTCTCCACACCATTGTTTCCAGGGGCAAAGTTAGGCATCAAAACTTACTATAGGACTTTACATCTGTGACCTTTTCTGAGATTTGCTCAGCCCTTAAAGAGACACATTAATTGTGACAATATCTGAATTACAGAGTCAGTGAACAGATTGGGTAGAAAGGGACACTTAAAGCTCATCCTGTTCCACCCCTGCCATGGGCAGGGACACCTTCCACTATCCCAGGTTGCTCCAAGCCCTGTCCAACCTGGCCTTGGACACTTCCAGGGATCCAGGGGCAGCCACAGCTGCTCTGAGAAAACTGTGCCAGGGCCTCATCACCCTCACTGTAAAAAATTTCTTCCTTTCATCCAGTCCAAGTCAACCTTCCCTCAGTTTAAACACAATATCCCTTGTCCTATTGCAACACCAGTGATGAAGAGCTCTTAAGCTGCTTCTTCACAGGAGTCACAACCATCACGTCAATAGCTGGGTCTCTGACTCCCTGCTACCACTGTCTCTGCCTGGTGACCTCCAGCACTTCAGCTCTGTACTGCACCAAAATCTCGCTAATTTAAAAAAAGAGTCACCCAGAAGAACAGTGGTTTCTTTTTTTTGCATGCAAAATGTTTCCCCCCAAAATTCCATGTTTATCTGTGCAATGTTTATTCCAATATCATGAATAGTTTGGAGGTTTATGATGTTTTTTTAAACATCAGAACATTCCCTGTGGTACAAAAATTCAGCAATCCTGCTCTCCAAGGGGATGCTCACTGCTGCATCAGCTTCAGAGTCCTCCCTGACCTTGTGTGCATGCTGGTTCATGAAAAGATTTTTTTTTTTTTTTAAATAATTTTCACCTTACTAGCCTAATTTTGTTATTTTCTCCTAACAGAGGAACAAAAAGACTCAGAATAAATATGTCAAAAATATGCAAGTCCCAGTAGCCATCAGGGGTTTTAAGACTTCTAGACAACTTAGATGCTTTTAAGACCATAGCTATGGTACCAAGGCTTCTTTAAGATGTGGAAGAATATCAAGAAATAGCTCCCAGAAATGTATTTCAAATAGTGCACTGACAGGCTAGTTTTATTGGCCTGAATTCTGGCTGCCACATAAATAAACAGTGAAAAGGAATGACATAATATAAAAATTTTTTTTCACAATTGTTTGAATCTGAGTAGCCTGTTGACCACATATTCCTCCACGTCTTTTAAATCTTAGCAACGCATCCTATTTTTTCATAGGAAGGAGAAAAACTCTTTTAGCAATGCATTGAAGGCTTCTAATGACCGTGGTGGACATTGAGTAATTTCTTCAACTATGGGAAAGCAAATACTCAATTTAAAGTAAAAAGAGGGAATATCAAGCCAAGAAGAAAATTAAGTTGAAATGGGTACGTATGGCTGTACAAAAGCCAAGCAGAAAAAAAATAAATATAAAAGTATTAATCTTCTCAACAATGCTAAGCATATCAGTTGTCTTTGAACTCTAAAATGCCTGTAAGACTCAGTTTCTAACTACAGCTATTTACAAAGGAACAGTCCCAAATTCCCTCAACTAGGAGACTGATCAGAAAGTCAAATGCTCACTTCTGGTTTCATGTCCCAAGCATCTCCCCAGGTTTCCTTCATATCTCCCATCAAGTTTCTGGCCTGACATCACAGGAAAAAAATGTCATTAGATGTGTCTATTTTTGGCGTGCTTATGCAAACAAATATTTGGGATTGTGCTTTTAAAAGAACACTGAACATAAGTAAGTCTTCATTTACATCCACTTCAATCTATGGGCAAGCCATCAGCTCACCAATAGGAGCCTGGAAACCTCATCCAGGAGGTTAAACAACAGATGACACATTTTTATGAGATTGGTTTTAACCTTGGTATTAAGTCTGAGGAAGGTTTTTATACTGTCTTAGGTCAATTCCACCACTGAAATCTGCATTGATTTGGTGAATCCTTCACAAATGCTAAAAATGTTACCAATTTTTTGTGTGTCTGGGGAAAAAGAAAGATTTCAGGAGAATATCTTTAGCTTGGGAATGAAGAGCAGCATAAAGAAAAAATAATGTACTATGAAAGTGTAACCTGACTGTAAATAGAAGCACATCTATAGAGATTTTAAATTGCCACACAGGTATTTAAACACAGTATTATTGTCACTTTCATCCAGACTGTTATTTCTGCTACAAATCTTACATCCAAAATCAGCATAGCTCGGCTTTCCAATTTGTACTTGTTTGAAATATGGCATAGCAGATATTACTTCAAAATTCATGTATTTGAATGAAAATAATATAGAGGTTCAGCAGATTTTATTCAGATTCCACTTTAATCAGTTATTCTCACTAAAGATCAGGCTTACAAATGTTTTCATGTTTCAACAACTTCCAGTGATTATTAATTTCTCTATCCCTTATTAGAAAATTTGCTATGTAGTCACATCATGGAAAGATTAAAACATCAAGATATTTTTACTGCTCTAATCTGATCAGAGTTAGAAGTAATCCTTCACCTTGAAGCTGCTCCCACTCTACGGGTACCAAGTGTTTCAGTGGGTGACAAGATGAGGACAGGCTGCTGAGCTGTGCCCTACCTGCTCTGCCCTCCCATCTATTCCATGGCTGCATCCAGCCAGCCTCACTTAACAGTGCTCTAGACAGTCATGATCCTAAAGCATGACAAAAGATTTTTCTAAAAAAATAACATAAGAAAGGAAAGCAAAGAGAAGGCTCAAGCCGCTTGCAAAAATCAAAGTATGAGAGCTGCTGACGCATGACCTGTGTCAGCAGAGGTCCCTGCAGCAGCTAAAGGCACAAAGTGAGACTGGTGCCTACCTTGATGCCAATGTTAACACATTCTGCATCCAGGATGTTGAGGATCCGTGAGGTGAGCCCATCACCTTTGTCTCTGGCCAGCCAGCACTTGCAGACAAAGTTGTACATGACGCCTTTGGTGGGCACGACGATGGTGAGCTCTTCCATCAGCCAGCAGCTCTCAGGGGTAGCGCCATCGTGCCCCACCTGTGAAGGCCAGAGAGAAAACACCTCCTGGGGAAAGGGGATTTCTCTGGATGAGGGTGATTCACCTGGCAATGAAGGACTCCGAGTCTGGGTACACCAACACAACAAACCATTCCTCAAGGGAATGGCGGGAACTCAGAAATAACGCTATTGCCATGGGCAAGGGAGCTTAGGTCATCAACTGCTGTGCATGAGGGAAGGCCAGTCTCAAAAAAAACCAAGGTAGACCAGACTGACCTGCATGAGAACACATCCAGTCTCTTGTCACTCTGCTCCTGCACCGCTGACCTCTATATGCTCATTTGCAGTTGGCAGCAGACACACTTCTCCACCTTTACAAGCCTTTCCACTTCTGTCACTACACTTGGAAGTGATTATTCAAAGCTTTATAGCCAAGAGGAAGGATGCTCAGCAAACACCCACATGTATTATTACAAGCACTTCCCTCAGAAATCCACGTATAAGTGAACTAAATGTATGAGGCTGCCTCTCTGCTTCCCATCTCCTTAGACTGCAAAAGCTCTGTCTTTGTACAGGAGACAACAGATGGAGCTTACATCTGTAGCTGGTTGATTTTCAAGGACCACCTCCTCCAGCCTCAAGAATGATCTGTCCTGGAGACCAGGAAGTCACACAAGGGTGGCCATAAGCCTGCATGGATGAACAAGGAGCTCCTGAAAAAATTTAAGTGGAAAAAGGAAGAGTACTAGAGGGGTCAGCAGGGGCAGAGGTCCAGCAGAAATACAGAGATGGTGCACAAGTATGCAGGGATGAGTTCATGAAAGCTAGAGCCCACCTGGAACTGAATCTGCCAAGAACCAGGGTTCCTGCAGGTATACCAGCAAAACAATTTCTCCAAGAACCTACATGTGTCCCTCTTAAAGAGGGTTGGAAATTCAACCTAGAGCAGGCTTGGAAGCAAAATTACATATCCAGGTTGATGCATGAGCCTTGGTCAGTCATTCCAATGAGCTACCTGTCCATAAAAGACCTACCTGCACTTCATTATTTTCAGAGAAAGTACTGTTTCTGTCATTTCTAGGAAAATGAGGTCCTTAGTCCAAAGACCTCACTGGTTTTTGTTTTTAAATTATTAGGAAATTTGGGGAGGCTCAGAAAGCAATTTTTAATAACAGATTCATCTAGGATGATATATCTGTGGTATCTATTTTTTCCCCAAAAAACAAGTGATCTTTTCTGTCTGATGGTCTCAGCCATCACTGCTATTAGGAGTATTATTGCTGTACTAATGTCTGTGCAGCTGCAGAAAATTAGAGCTAACCACTAGGGAAATTCAAGTCTACAATGGATGCATTAATCCTCTGATTCTTGGGGTGTGAGGTGAATGGGAATATAACACTTGCCTTCCCATTCCCTCTCTGCCAGCTTGGCTGAGCATCTCCAAGCCCAAAGTCAGTCTTTGTGCAGTTCTGTTGCAGGATGGCATGGATGAGGCAGTGGGGAAAGCTCAGGGCCAAGGTTCTGCAGTGACAAAGCAGCTGGAGGGAAAATCCTAATGAACCTAATAAAATTTGCTGGTCTTTTTGTGGGTTCATTGCACACCCCCACCTGCTCACATCACAGAATCATAGAATAGTTTGGTTTAGAAAGGACTTTAAAGCCCATCTTATTCTAACCCCCCTGCCATAGGCAGGGACATCTTCCACTCTCCCACGTTGCTCCAAGCCCTGTCCAACCTGGCCTTGGACACCTCCAGGGATGGGATATCCACAGCCTCCCTGGGAAAAGTCTTATTCCAAGGCATTGCTAGGCACCACATTTTCACAGCAAACTTTAACTTCTTTGATACCAGTGACAGCCAGAAGGAAACAACCTGTGCATCCAGCTGCCTTGGAGAACAGATTTCCAAGGGCCTCCAGAATAATGTAAATTCTGGGACAAATTCAGTCAGTGTCAGCCAAGTCTTCCCTCTGGATGGACTTCAGAAGCAGAGCACCAGGATTTGACTTTCAATTCCAGGCAAATCTTTAGACAGACCATGCCAATACAGTGAATAATGCCAAGCCATGGGCACACCAGCAGCGTAGCCTGGATGTGCATACCAATATCACAAAAAGTGGTTTGGGCTGAGATGTTTGAACTGAATTAGAATGACAGCAATTCAAAAGCAGATGGATCCTTACTTGGGCTGTTTGAAAACCTTTGTAACTTGTTCCTACTGTCCTTGAGGAACTGCACATCACTGAGGCTGAGATTCACAATTTAAACGGAGAAGCTCGGGATCACATAGAAACTGAACACAGTGGTAGAGGGAAAATCCAAGAGAATATTTGTGGAGGGAAGGTTCAGAGAATACTAGAGAAACCTGAGGGTCAAATCCCTAGTCACTTAGGGACTGGTCCTGCATTTGCAAAATTTGTGTGTTCTTGATTTTCCTCTGTGTTCATGATGGAGAAAGGCTCTGAAGCAGAAGAGGTTTATGAAAACAAACCAATGCAGGACTCTCCTAGACATACCTGTGTCTCTCTGCAGCAGCAACAGTGTAGGAATAAAGATACTTTCATTCATTAGGAGAAGAAATACTAAAAATTATTTTGAAAACACAGTATAAAGTGTCTACACTGAATAATTTGTGTAATTTATTTTCATGCCAGTGTGTCTATTAAAGTCCACCAGTAGTAAATATTATATCTGTAGGCTTACAAGACAGGAATAAATGGGCCCCTTTCAAATCAGTTCATGTTCCACTGTTTCTGCTTTCAGTGGAATATATTTGTAGCAGAAGCATAATACTGAACCAGAAGTAGCATCATGCTGCAAATCTCACAGTCCTGCTAAATGGTAGAGTCTGCTGCCTGGGTTATACAGAAGGCTCCTGGAAACTTAATCCTCATACTATGCTATTTTCACATGGTAACTCACATTCAGAACTTTTCACCTTCTGCACAAACAGACAAATACCAAATCCAAGAACGAACTGTTCCTCACTTTTCCCCAAGTGGATAACTAGCAATTTTCTGCAATGTCCCTGAACACTGCAATTTTCTAGAAGGAGAATGCGGACTGATGCCATGGCAACCACAGCAGACTAGCACATCGATGTCATTGCTGGTCCAAAAGAAGGGACCTTCCAAGCTGAGGGCACTGCATGAAGAAAGAGAAAAGGCCAGGAGCAGGTGGCTCCTTCTGCTGTGAGCTGGGGAATTACAAACCAGAAGGGAGAAGTGAGCCAGGGGTGAGGCACCAGGCTGGTGAGATCACTGAGTACAGGGATGAAAGAGTGCAGAAGAACATCACCAGCCTGAAAGATATATGTTATTTCTTTTTCTGACTCTCTGCTTTTTATTTGCAATCCTTTATCTTCTTTCCCATTTGAATTCCTTTCCAAATTAATTTTTGCCTTGCCTCTGCCTGTTTCAAAGTGTCTTCTCCTGCTTCCTTCTGTTTTCTACCTGTTCCTTACCCTATTCACTGTATCTTTTCCAGCATCCCTTTCTACTTCTTTCTTCAGGCTGCTCTTCCTGTCTCTCTGACCCTGATGGGTGATACTGTCATTTTCCTCCCTCTCTGTCCCACTCCACGGTTGTTTCCATGTGTGCACAATCCAGAAGAGAAAGATTGATACACTTGCTTCACTATAAAAGTTTGACCTTGAGATGGGCTAGACAGAAAGTGCCACTAATACACATAATAACCAGGCACTGGGAGTGCATTAAGAAAATGGCTTGATAATAAACTCAAATCTGACACAGAGATTTCTCAAGATGTCAGAATTCATTGCTTGAGTGAAAGGTAGTGCGAGCGACAGTCTCTCAGCAGCAACAGCAGGACATAAACATGCAAAGATTTCCTTATTAGTTAGGATTTCTCTTTCTTTCTTGTCTCTTTCCAATTATACAGGTGCACACATTGACAGGTAGGTTTACTTCCACAGAGGGACAGGGGTAAAACCAAAATTAAATAGGCTCCTGGAGTCCTCAGGTGCTGTGGGTTTCAGTTCTTGAGGGGCTGGAACAAGCTTTAAGGAGATGGAACTGCCATATAAAACAAGAATGATGTACACAAACACTCTGGAATATTCATGTGAAGTTTAAGCCCAGTGATGGAAAGTCTATGCAAATTGTGTCTCCCTGAGCCATAACAGAAAAAATGGTTCCTGTACCGAAATCTATTTGTGCACATTACTCACAAATTATGATTAATTTTCTTCTCTAAGCCTGTGTCCTCCAAGCTGTGAAAACAATTTTCATGTCTAGCTAGGAAATTATACAAGATGTGTTTCTCAAAATTTATGAAACCCAATTGGAAGTAGTGAAAAAAAAAATCAACTAGGAAAAAGACCGATGAAGAACTGCATCCTGGGAAGCTTCACTGCATCTGGCAATAGAAGGGATTGAGTTAGAAAAAGCAGTGCCAGAGATGGGACAAAACTGGGACAAGTTATAACTTCTTTACAATTCACAATTATCTTCCGCTTCACGAGGATTCTGGTTTAATGCAAAGGAAAGCATACTTATTTACAGGTTCAGACACATGCAAAATCTCACCAGCACAGCCCTGTTTACATTCCTTTTAGACCCAAGAGCCTTTACTTCACTGCTAAGAATAACAGAACCACATGCTTTCTTTGGCCACGTATTTCATACGCCTCCAGCACTCGCGCTGCGTTCACAACATACCTCCACTTTTTTGATCTCCCCAACATCTAGGCCCCAAACTGAAAATTTCTCCACAGAGCCATCTGCAAATTCATCCTTTCCTTCTGGAAGATCCAGCCACAGCCTCTCGGTCTGCACTTTCTGCGGGCCCATGATGATGATGAACACGCGGCTGTCGGTGCTGGAGTCGTACTCCGTGCCTGTGGCGACGGTGATGTGGTACGGGATCACTGTGACAAAGAGGTTTGTTCATCAGAAAACCCACACGCATATGCACTTGTACGAAACTTGAGAAAACCAGGGGCTTATCCCATCAGAGGGAGCAGCTGTGCACGCCAAATGGGTTCACATCCCATTGAATTCATTTGGAGAAGTGATAACATCATGCTTTGTTGGGCTACAAGTGTGCTTTGGAGACTACTTTCCCATGGCACGCTTGGGACTGAATTCTGCAAGGGTTAATTTCCCCAGACAACCCTACTGGCTGCAAGGAGGTTATAAGTCCAGATTTCTCCCTAATGCATGACAGAACAGCAAAAGGCTTGAATCCTTATTGACACCAAGAGACCTTCCTGAAGACGAGTCTGAGCACCTAAATCTTAAACAGGCTATTAAGGCCAAAGTGATCTTACACTCCCCGTTCAATAAAGACAAATAAATCTGTGCTGACTCCAAGGTAAGCCATCACCGAATGAATGTCCCAGAACAACCACAAATGCTCTCCTTTGTGCCTCATTCAAGGATTGCTGTGATCTATGGGGCGGCTCAGGGTTTCATCATCCCTGTGCAAATCCAGACAGAGGAGAACAATCGTTGTATTAAAGGTAAGTCACTCAATAATTCTATGCGTTGCATAATAATTTTGGTTGGGGGAAAAAGCTTCAGGGCAAGGCTTGGTAAAAGAAGAGTTGTTTTTTTCTGTGGTTTTCAGAAATTTCAGTTCAGCTGTTAAAAGGGAGGAAGTGCCAGACTGCTTTTCAAGGGCTTTCCAAAAGCTCATTTGGGTAAGCCGAGCAGGCGGTGCAGAATTGGTCGCTGAATACTCGTTTGATTTCTCAGAACATTTGTGCAGGGCTGTTCAAACAGTTCCGACAAGACTCAGAGCTCTGAAACTTGCTTCGTCACAGCCTCAAAACAGCCTAGCCTCCTCATCACTTTTCTGATTTAAAAAAAAAAAAAAAAGAGTTTATAAGTTGACAAAAAAAAAAACCAAAACAAAAACTTGGCTGGTTTTCAAATTACCCAAGATTGACATCTAATTTTGCTTTATGATGACTAACAAAATTTTTGAGGTGGGGGTCGTACTAGAAATTCACATCAGACTCAGAATACTTGTGCAGCATCAGGGAAGGCATAAATTCATGCTGATCAAATCTGTCCTTACCTCTGGACAGAGCAGAGCCCAAAGATTCATTCAGTCCCAATTTGAAGATTTTGTGTACCAACACAAAATGAGCTGATGATTAGGCAAGATTTATTCTCCCATTTATGGTATAACTTACATTCCAGTGGGTGCATCAGCACAACGATGCATTTAGCAGGTTTATTTGTAGTCAAGGCAGATTTTATGAGAATATATTGAGAGGTCATGTTTAGGACATCTCCAGACTTTTAAATAAAAGTGTATTTTGAATAGGGACATTTTCTTTCATACAGGTTTGTCCTGTTCTGCTGTGACAGACTAAGTTTAGAGAACTACTAGCACTTCTAGCTGATCCTTAAGCCAAGGTACTTGAAACATCTATAAAATTAAATGAGAACTTTGAGTAACTATACTTTCCTAATTTAAATAATGGATACAGAGAGTAGTTTACTATCTGAGAGCAGGAAACACCCTTTGCTGTTCTTTTCTCTGAAAACTAGAAAATGGATCCTTAAATTAGTTTATCTTCCCTCCCTGTTGTCTCCTTCTTTGTCTGGGACTCGTATTTACCTTTTTTTCAAACACAGGAGAATGTGAAACCTGTGGGAAGTGGCCACAACAGGACACCACAGTTCCTCCAGCCCTTCTCCCTTTGCCCTTGTGCCAGCACAGGGTTCAGGCTGCTTGAAGCCACATGTTCCCCTCTCAGGAGGGTGGGTTTCCTTAGGAAGCCATCCATGCCATCTCCAGGGCTGCCTTCCAGCACGGGAGAAGGTTCCCAGTTCAGACCTAAGCATCACCCTTTCCACCAAGAGGACCTTTCCCTGAGCTCCATCCTCACATCCTCCACCTCCTGACCCTCAGAGGCATTTGGCAGCTTGATCTCAGCACAGTCAGGACCAGGCTGAGTGACAAAGTCACTCCCTTTCCCAGGCCAACTCCCAGTGCCACTTCCTGAGTGAACAGGCTGAGCTGGCTTTTTATCCAGCCCAGAAGGTGTCTGCCTGGCTCACCCAGTCCATCTTATCTGACATTCCTTCAGGAAGCAGTTTCCTTAATGAGGCCACGTCACTGAGCAGAGATAGTGGTGATGACAAGTTCCAGGACTCAGGGGAAAAAGACCACCCTGGCACAATGGGGACGATGGGAGCTGTCCTAGCTCTGCTGGAGAGGGGTTCTCTTGGGAAATTATGGTATTTTACCCATTATTTGTGAAACAACTCAGAATGCCAACATGGCAGATGTTATCCATTGCCTCAGCATGGAAGTAATATCAGAAGGAACATGGAAATCACTTATTTTTTATTTGTAACCCCACAATGTGGGATTAGAAAAGAAGGGCTGCCCCAAGACACATGGGTTGCAGGCCAGGTTTAGCAATGTGCAGCATTACATCTGCTTCCCAAATGAAAGGTGTGGGATGTGCAACCCAGGTATCACACCCACAGCAAACTACTGGGCATCAGAGGAGCTGCAAACCATCCGTGTGACCGCCCTTAGACCCTGTGTGAGTCCCTCTGGAGAGCTGTCTTAAATTCCTAATGAAAATTACATAATTTTCACTTCATTTACCATGGATGTTTAGGATAAATTTAATTATTTTGCACTTGCTGTGGAGTAAGAGCTCATAGACAGACAGTAACTGTGATGCAGCTGCTGCTCAGTTAGTCAATACAACACAGCATTGTAATCACACATCTAAAATCTTAATCTAAAGCTAAAAGGCACCATGTAGAATATAAAAAAACTGTAGGTTCAATTTAGCTGGTAAGTCATTGTCCTGGAACACAGAGGTACCAAAAACAAAATCATGAATTCATAGAATCATAGAAAAGCAAGGTTGGAAGGGACCTTAAAGTACATCTCATTCCAACCCCCCTGCATTGGGGGGTTGAAATCTCAACCCAACCCACCTGACAGCTAATGTGATGCACACTATGTGTGGTAAGGAAAAAGAAACCCGAGAAGTTCTAACAATAAATCACATTAAAATTAAAATGAAAATTAAAAATTAAAATTAAAAAATATTTCATCTTGAAATTAAGTCAATTATCATCTCAATTAAGTCAAAGAAATAGTTTGGAAACACTGAATTTGCTGTGAACTTCATGGCTTATTCCACTGTTGAGATCAGAGAGCTGCAGAAAAAGCAGCAAACATGGGAACACAAGCCCTGATCCAGCCTTTCCCAAAGCAGTCACAACACAAGGAAAGGAGAAATAATCTGTTGTTCTGCCTCTCCTTGCTCTTCAGCAGGACGAATGCAGCCTCTTAAGCACTGAAAGCCAAGAGCATGGGTACGCATTCAACCAAACACTCAAGCATGACCACTCACGTGAGCCTTCCTCTGCTGCCTTGACCAAGCTGGATTTTTTGGGCTCCTTCAGGTTGGCATTGCTGTCCTGGCTGGACGTGCTGAGAGAGGAGCCATCCAGGCTGTTCCGCTCGCCATCGTAGCTCTGGTTGGGAGGCAGATTTGGGAGGGTAATGAGGCTGGGTTCTTGTGTTGTCACCTGCTCCCATCTGCCTCCAAGAACATGAGAACAAACCCTTGTAGTTCCCCACCTACCTTTTTGGTCAGTATAGCTCGAATAAATGTGGCTTGTATTGCACTGGTGGTCTTTCATTTGCTTCACTGGTGACCCTGACAGGCCATTTTGGATGTGTGTTAAAAATAGTATAATCGACCTAAGAGTCTTGTGAGTTGTGACTTTTTCCTGTGCTACCTGTCTGAAATTGTCTGAAATTCAGATCAATGGATCAGGGCCAGAGCTCATAGAATCATTGAAGGGACCTTAAAGGTCATCCCATTCCGCCCCCTGCCATGGGCAGGGACTCCTTCCACTATCCCAGGTTGCTCCAAGCCTCATGCAACCTGGCCTTGGACAGTTCCAGGGATGGGACAGTCACAGCTCCTCTGGACAGCCTGTGCCAGGGCCTCACCACCCTCACAGGGCAGAATTTGTTGCTAATATGAAATCTAAACCTACTCTCATTCAATCTGAACCCATAACCCTCTTGTCCCATCACTCCAGGCCCTTTAAAATTGTCTCCCTTCATTTATCTTGTCAGCTCTCTTCAGGTACTGGAAAGTCACAATTAGGTCACACTGAAGCCACCTCTTCTGAAGTTGAACAATCCCAATTCTCTCAGCAGAGCTGCTCCATCCCTCTGATCACCTTGCTTCTCTGGATTCACTCCAGCAGCTCCACGTCCTTGTGCTGTTGTTGCCCAGGGCTGGGGCAGCTCTGCAGGTGGGGTCTCACCTGAGCACAGGGGCACAGGGGCACAATCCCCCTTCCCCTGCTGCCCACGCTGGGGGATCAGCCCAGGGCAGGGGGTTCACAGCTGGGGCAGGTCCAGCTCTCACCCCCACACCCCCAGGTCCTTCTCCCATCTGCTGTTAGGTACTGGTCAAATATCATAAGAGGCAGAGTACTGCAAATCTGAGTGATGTGAAACACTGGTTGTGTTTGAGGAGTTACTGACAATGCATTTGGCGTCACCGTCCAATAAATGTGAGGCTTTTGCCATACTGTCAAATAATTTAAAAAAAGAAAAAAGGAGTGATTAGTTTATTCTCGTTATGAATTGATATAAGCAACTGGGTAAGCCTGTCCACAAGCATTCACAGCCTTGTGTGCTGCAGTTTTATGAGACAGCATATGGCAACACTCATCCATGGTGTAACTCCTCTTACATCCGCTCCGCTGCGTTCAGGATGAGTCCTGGCCAATTCCATTGATGATCATTTTAGTAGTAACTGTCAATTAAAGCCTCTCTGTATTTTGCAAAGTGGACTCCTTAAACAAAATGAACTTATAATCAGCTGCTTTATTATGTCTCACTGTATAAAAGTAAGAGAAGTCTATTAATCTTGTTTGCTAATTTTAATTAGAGCATGTACCTCGAATTCCAATTAGCTGTACTAGGCTGATAAGCAATAGAGAGTGTGCAAGTAGAAAGGACATTTCACTAAAAAACATTTGGTGCTCTGAGTGGTAGCAAAGAGACCTGTCTTTTTATATCCAGCAGTGGTGGAATAGGGATCTATTCCCCAGTCCAAGTGAGGACAGTCAAAGGACCCAATATTCTGGCTGGAGGACTTTGAATAGTGGGACCCATTACTAATCTGCTTTTTGGGCATAGCAAGGACAGCAGCAGGGAAATGCTGTGTACCAGCAAGGTAGTGAGCTCTCATCTGAAGGGTTTCACTTACACTCCTTGATTTTTCTGTTGAAACTGCAAATTACAGAGCTGATGATAATGAGCTGAGAGTGGCCTTACTTTCAGCTCTTGTCTGAAAACCAGAAATTCATTTTGGATAAGCCAAAAGCCCTCTGAGTCCCTAATGAGCTGCGTTAGACTTCAACCAGATATTCAATAATTTTATTTTTATGAGTAGCAGTGGAATCTACTTTGAGCCATAACTGTACCTGTTCATAAAGCGTGCGCTCTATCTTTCTGTCCTCTTTCTTTTTAGAGAGCCAGCGCTCGCACAGGAAAACGAACGACTCCTCTGTGGTTTCATCCAGGATCTCCACTTTTTCCAGAAACCAGTCAGGACTGAACATACTGTTGTCATGACGAATCTTGATCTTGTACAGAATGCCGAGGTCCACAGCCTGTATTGTGAACGTGTCCTCCTGCAGGATGTTCGAGAGCAGTTGATTCTGTTAACAAACTCTCAACAGATCATCTACTGGAAAAAGGCAAAAAAGGGAGACTACAGAACACATATGTTTAAATTCCGTGTTGCTGGATGGTGTTTGGCTAAAAGCTTTGCAGAAGTCTATAGAGGCATATCTGTAAGCTAAAACTGTTCTTCAGGGAAATGTTTTAAAGCCTGCTGCTGCTAGGCAAGAAACACCACTTTTACAACCAGTTAGAATATTGAAATCCTGGGAGATTTTAAAGTATGCTTCCCTTTCTAATCCAGTTAGATTTGCATGAATTTGAATCCAGATAAGGCAATCCTTGCTACCATTATATCCAAGTGACCCATGGGATGACCACAGAGCATCACTTTTGGAGTTATTTTCCCAGATACAGCAGAAGTTTAAGTCCCATCAATTTAACAAGTTTTGTGGTGAATTCCAACATGTACTGTGTACATGCAAATCCATTGCACAGGGACTGTGGGAATCTGCAGCTCACAGCTCAAGCCAGTCTCCATGACCAAGCTCATAATTTGTCCATCAGTGACTTCATAGGAACATCTGCCTGTTTGCTGCAGTGCCTGTCAGCTGTAATACCCAGCTGACAATCCATACAAAGCATTTTAAGAGGTAATGAATGTGGTAAATGGAATCAATCAATTCATTCCTCATAGGAAAACTCAGCCTATAAAGGCAGACATTGATTTGATAGGTTAAAGACTGAGAAACAGAAAGTGTCATTAACCCATTGCATTTGTACCTGTCCTCTTTCAAACTTGTTGAAGTTTGTTTCGGATTTACTGAGTTTTCTCTCTCCCATGTCCCCCAGGTCTCCATAGATATTTAGGAAGACATTAGCATCTGTCCCTGCACCGTAGATATCCCCAGTGAACACGCTGATCTTGTATGTGTGAACTGCAGAAAGAAAGAGAGATGATTTCTGGTCAGACAAATATTAAGATCCTTGTTAGGGACTGAATTTACCTAAGAAAATGTGCCCCAGATTTTCTGCCGGTCCCTTGCAGAGGTATTAAATCCCATACGGTTTTTCTTTCAGGTTTCCAGTCCAAAGGCTGGCCAATCCCTGGGCTGACATTTGCTGCCTTTCCTTTTCTCTGTCCAGTCAATGCCTGTATGCTGCTTTGATCACACAGCTCACAGTTAAAAATGCAAAGAATCATTATGGTCATTACTGGATGGGAAGTCAATAGAGGTGACGGGACTCAGCACCTTTTCATCCAGAGGCTCGAGGGACACAGAGCTGAGAACAAGTAATTCAGTGCTGTGAATCCTTAATACTCCATCTTCCATAAACAAAGACTGGGAATTCAGATGTGCAATTACTACAGGAGTTAATGGCATGTATCTCTATAAATTCCCCAAACAGACAGAGAACAGGTTTCTGGGTCCTTTTGCTGAGAGAGTATTTAATTAAAGAAGGGCTGGAGATGTGCTGTTTAAGTACCCTTTCTCTTTAGTTTGCTCAATGATGAGACAATAAAACCTCATCAAGCCTTTAGTAATGTGCTTTACTAAACCTGTTAAATACTCCTATTTTTATTTTGCTCCTCTTCTCCCAATTGTATGGGGAAAACAAACAGTTACTGAAAGCATCCTCTCCAGGAAAACAGTGAGGGTCTATACAAGTCTCTGATTACCCTGGTGGCATATGAGCCATGGAGAATGCCTCCCTGCAAATCCCAGGGCAATGCAAATGAGCAAGAGGCACAAAGTCTTAGTTAGGATTCTGTGTACGTTAACTGCGTCAAAGAAAATTGCTATATTGTATTTCTTCTTTCACAGCAAGACAGACCCTGTTCTGCTTTGTCACCCATGAAAGATTTCCATTGATTTCTCTGAGAAATGGATCAGAGTCATCACCTGAGAACATCCACCAGGACTATGTGTGGTGCTGGATTTTCTGGTTTGCCTCTACACATATGTCCTACAGAGTTACAGCTCCATAATTGAGAGGCAACCGCTACTTTAGTAATGAAGGAAGCAATGTATATTGTCTAATTAGTCAATGTATCCTTCTTTGGCCTTTCCTTGATAGTTCTAGAGACTTCCAGGACTAAAATACAGTGTATTATGAAAAAAAAAAGATGATCCTCAGAATACCACAAGCTGATTTCCATCAAGGTCATTTACACCATGTCACTGCCCAAGATGTGTGAGGACTCATAGGCATGCAGAATATTTAATTCTTGTCCCAGGTATTTCATATCTAAAGCAGAATTTCCCAAACTTAGCCCTAGCTCCACACCAGAAGAAACTTTCAGTGATCCAGAAATTCCATTGCATAGATTGTAGAACTTGTTTTTAGGCTTTGCCTTCAGAAGGAAAAGTGAGTCACCTAGGTTAATTAACAAATGGTAACTGATCCAAGGTAAAGCAACAGAAATTAACAAGTTAAGGAAAAAGTCATACAGGCACCCAGATGTCATAGAATTGTTGAATCATCAATTTGTTTGGGTTGGAAGAGACCTTTAAAGGCCACCTTATCCAACCCACCTGCCATGGGCAGTGACACCTTCCACTGTACCAGGTTTTATCAGAGCCTCATCCAACCTGAGCTCAAATTGTTTCCAGGAATTCACCACTTCTCTGGGCCACTCTTGCCTGTGTTTTACCTCTTAGTAATTGATTTAAAAATTGTCTTTGCCTCTCCAGTAAAAGAAAGCTCCCATGAGCTACTGTTCCAAACAGAAGGAAGGATGGCACCAGTCTTCCTTCCAGCAAGGCACCTCTTCCCTTGGCAATGGAAAAAAAATGCATGTTAATTCCACCCTAACAATGTTCTACAGTGAATGGAAGTCAGACTCTGAAAGAAAAGAAAGAGTGAGAGAACTTATTTTCCCAGTTGAATCATCTTGTTGTCAGATGCAAGAGTCAGGAATGGAAATGGCAGCTGAATTCCTTTTGCTCGGCTCAGGATGAGGAAGTTCATGACCTCTCCCAAGGACATAATGAGCTCTGGGTGAGAAAAGGAGATCCTTTTCTCGAGGAAAAAGAGGTACAAACAGCTGCACATACTGAGAAGCAATGACTTAGGGGTAAAATTACAGTTCCTTTTCACTTGCTTCAGCTACCAGTAAGGCCAAACACTGAATGTCACCATTTTATAACATGAACTCAGAACTGAATAAGAATGTTTTCCCCTCCTGAGAGGCACTTTAATGAGGTGAAGGTGGCTGCAATGACCCAGGTTTCTGAAGGTTATGCATGTGTACCTGAAGAGCAGCAGGCAAAACAACTTTGGGAGGAAAAAGGAGCATTAATTAGATTCATAGGATAGGAAAGGAAGAGGCAGAGTGCACAGCATAGAAAAAGTTGAGAAAATGAGTGAAGAGGTTAGCACAGTCTTAAAGATAAGATGTAAGAATGTTGCTAGGCATCAGAGGAGACATGGAAACTATGGGTGTGGAAGGGTGCCTGTGACAAGTTCTTAAAAGTCTCACAGGAAAATAATGATGTTATTGCAAAGAAATGCTCCAGGTGTGAGAGAGGCAAAAGAACAGGAAGGGAAAGAGAAGTGAACAGTTAAACCAGCATGGCACTGAACCACACATGCAAATGGTTTGTTCCAAAAATCAGACAAATCATCCCTACCTACTGCTAGGTTTATATTACCTTCTAAGGGCTCTTCAACTTCTTCCTCTATCTGCTTGAGTGTCCCATCCTTCATGAGCTTTTCAGTAAAAATATCAGATGGCACCAGCTCTCTGACAGTCTCACCATCATCTTCAGACTTTGCAAGCCATCTTTCACATGGAAATGTGATAGTTTCTGAGCCCTGGAGTAAACATGACAGGGGAAATCTCTTCAAAACAACATGAACACATGCTAGCGCTTCCCCTTTGAATATGCTCCAACATGCAGGCAAGGATTTTCAATTCATATGTGTGCGTGCGTGTGTAGAGGCAGACCTAAAATAGTACAGAAACAGAGTATTTCCTCCAGAAAAAGGAAATCTGAGGGCTCTCAGAAGAAGCACTGAACATGCAGCAGAAAACAGGATTCCCTGTGGGGGTGTGGAGTGGCTGTATGATCCAGTAGATCTCTGCTCTTCACAGTATTAAAGCTTGTAAATTCCTAATCAGGACTGGACCATTCCTGCTGAAGCTGTGCTTTACTGAGACTGAAATTCCTCTTCAACCCTTATTCAGGCAGCATTTTCTTTGAAGCCAGTAGGGCTTTTTATTTTTTTCTGAGCTCAATACTTCATGATTTTGTCTATAATTCTGTGACTCAAGCTGGGTTCCAGGCAATTCCCATACATGCAATAAGAGGAGAAAAATACTGATTTAATTTTTGATCTTTTGTTTTGACTTCACTTTGGTGGAAACAAATATGATTTATATCATCAAACAGACAAAAACAATAGAACATGTGTTTTCCACTTGGTAAACAAAATTAATCCCAGACTATTCATTAAGAACAGACTCCCATAAGGCCTCCAAGATGGTAAGAAGCAGGCAGCTTTCAGAGTGCTGGGCACCCCAGGATATGACTCCATGAAGAGAGGAGCATGAGCCACCATGCAAGATACAGAGGCCACAAGTCTGACCAGAAGAATAAAAAAAGGAAGTTAGTTTTAATCTCACAGTAAATAAATACAGGAGAAAAAAGAAAAAAAGGCCCTTTCTTTACTGGCAAGTTCATCATTTGTCTCTTACCCTGCACAGGGGCTTCCTGCTCTTTGCAGCATGCTGTGTACCATCCCTTTCATTTATAACATACCAATGGATGTTCACAGAATCCCAGAGGGGTTTGGGTTGGAGGGGACCTTAAAGCTCATCTGCTTCCAAGACCCCCTGCCATGTCAGGGACACCTTCCACTATCCCAGGCTGCTCCAAGCCCTGTCCAACCTGTCCTGGGACACTGCAGGGATCCAGGGGCAGCCCCAGCTGCTCTGGGCACCCTGTGCCAGGGCCTGCCCACCCTCCCAGCCAGGAATGTCTTTCTAATATCTAATACCCTGCCCTCTGTCAATGTGAAGCCATTCCCCCTTGTCCTGTCCCTCCATCCCTTGTCCAAAGTCCCTCTCCAGCTCTCTTGTAGACATCCTTTATGAATAATTTTCACCTTAATTACTCTGCTGTGATTACTTATCAAGCCAACACTGGGCCCTTTCATCACTACTTTTACTATTTAAATACTAAAATATTAATACATGGTTAGGAAGGGAATAGATCTCAATGTAGCAGTCTTGAACATTGTTGTCACTGTGTATTACAGCGCTGAACTGCCTGGAACTGCAGATCCTGCCCTCCCTGTCACTGGGGAGGAATAGTTTGTTCACCCAAGAGTAGATGTGCACTGTGATCATAGGTAACCTGGAATGAACAGGTCACGGTGTCAGCACACCAATATCCCAGGGAAGTTGGTCTGTGGGAGCAGAGCCCCTCTGAGGGGCTTGTGTGACTGAGTGTTTTGAGTCTGCAACAGAATCACACTTTGAGTGCACACAGCCCAAATCTTCTGCTGTTAATGAAACACCATTTCTCCTCCCCTCTGCTGCTCCCTGCAGTACTGCTGTTTAACCCCAGACAGAGATGTTTAACTCCACGAGGAGGTTTGGAGCATGGCGTACAAAATGGTGTCAAAGAAAACCGGCAGCACTTCAGGTGATTTCACATCTTTTGCTTTCAAGTGTTATTTTGTGCTATAGAAGCAGAATACAGCACCTAATAATTCATGCCTCCTCATTGCTGCACTGGCTGACCACTTAACCTGTATTATCTCACTGTACGCCCAGCTGATGAACAGTGCTTATCTCCACACCTGCAGGCTGGGGAGAGAGAGCTTTCCAGAACGATGCTTCAGCACTGAAACTCTCTCCTCCTGATAGAGATCCCACTTCAGTCACATTTCTCACTGAAGCTTTCAACAGCTCCTGAACATTCATACTGCTGGCTGTATGTGCCATTGATGCAAACACTGTTTATTTGGTAACAAGATACCTAGGCACTGGAGTGACAGCACAGTGGGGCATAATGTGCACTTACTGCAAGAGTTAATCGTGCCATCATTAATAATCAGCATGCCATTGCCATCCTTTTTATTGGGGTTTCCCTGTTAGGGACTGTATTAATATTTAAGTGATGTAAAGTGCACTGGTTTATAATAACAACAGTAAAATCCTCTTGCAGCCCTGAACAGAATTTGTTTTGTTAGAGTCTGAGTCTGGACCTAGAAGCAGGGTATGATAGTGTGCTAAAAGTCAGTGCTTTTCCCTTCTCCAAGTTGTAACAAATGAAATATAATTATCAAATATAATTGGCATGCCAAGATGTTTTTTTCAGCACGCAACAATCCTAGTTTCCTACCCAAGCGCTTTCAATTTAATCTAAAAAGTTACTGACCTCATTTTTCTTTTGCAGCTCTACAGATACATCTAGACACATTTTAGCAGTCTAATCAGGTAGCACGGCTTTTAGAAGCGCTGGCAGCATATTGCTATCCTGTGGCAGGTCATAATATCCTGCGGCTGATCAGCGGCATCATGCAGTGCTCTGCTTTCTTCTTTTTTTCCCATGCCATAATCAAAAGATCAGCAGAATTGTAAATCTCTCCATTCCCAAGTCGTTCAGGGCTTTCCTCCCTTCTTCCACCTTCAGGTTTCTCACCACCTGCCCTTCAAAGCTGCTGCAGTGAGGAGGGGGTGCAGCCCCGAGACCCTCTCTTGGCAAATTGAAGAGCACCCAAGATGGAGCGCTCGGGCACTTCCCAAAGTTTAAGGCCAGTGTAGAAAGAGACAGCCCAGGAATCTCTTTTCCCTTGGTTTCCACACATTTGGGCATCCCCCTCTTCTTCTTGTGACCAATAGCAGTATCCCTGAAAACAACGTGTACCTGTCCATTAACCTAGGCAAGGGTTAGGCAATACACTGAGATAATGTCAGAATAGCAAAGAGGTGATAGCAAGGAACAATCCAAGAGTATTGGATTGTGAAGAAGCTTGCTCAGGAGGATGGAAAAGAGAGATGAGGGGGGAACCTTCTCACTCTCCACAACTCCCTGACAGGAGGTTGGAGACAGGTGGGGGTCAAGCTCTGCTCCCAGGGAACAAGGGACAGGAGGAGAGCAAATGGCCTCAAGGTGCACCAGGGAAGATTTAGACTGGATATTGGGAAAAATTTCTTCACAGAATGGGTTGTCCCACCCTGGCACAGGCTGCCCAGGGCAGCAGAGAAGTGCCCATCCCTGGAGGGATTTAAAAGAGGGATTTAAAAGCTGTGTGGATGTGGAACTTGGGGACATGGGTCAATGGTGGCTTTGGCAGTGCTGGAGGAATGGTTGAACTTGATCTTGGAGTTCTTTTCCAACCTAAACAATTCCATGATTCTGTGGTGAGGAGGGTCCAAGGAAGACCTGTGGGTTGATTGTGTAGCAAAGAGAATCAAACATATCCTGTAAATTTTGAAGGAGGAAGCAAGATGAGATGTGGGTTCACCATGACTGAACAAACTGTTTTAGATCTTGGTATTACAGGCCACCTGCGGAGTGGGCAGTCCTGAGATGACATCCCTTTGGAATAAGGGGAAAGAGCCCAGGTCTTCCCCAGTGCAGCTACTGCTCCAGTTCTGGACTGGTCCTAAAGAGGTGATTTTCTTTTGAACTTCCCCACAGCCAGATTCATCCCTGTTGCTATAGCCAGCATCTGAAAGCAGGGCTGAGGAACACTTTCTTACATGGGCAGGGTCAAGGTGACCAATCTGACTGTATCGTGTTAATGTTGTTCACATGAACAGCAAAAAATCCTATCATCTAACCTGACTTTTTAAACACGATTCAGGGAGTTGCACTGACAGGCATTTTACTTGCCTTAATTGTACTGGCTCCTTGCATTTATTCTTCCAGGATTAAGGGACTGATGAAATTGTTTCTTGTCCGTGTTTGGAAACAATACTTTTTATTTCAAAATAGTACGCCCACTTTCCACTTCCTTCCCTGATATCCCTCAAAACAGAACTACACAGGAAAACACGAAGCTTTGAAAAAGCAATTATTGCAGAGCCTTATCGTCAACATTTGAAGAACAAAACATGATAACACATGTTTGTTGTCCCCAGATCCCCAGGCTCCAGCAAGTTCATTTAGTGCGCATTGCTCTTCAGGGAGTAGTTTTTCACTGTTAATCACACTTTGTACACGGAAGATGCAATCTGGGAGATGGAAGTGGTGGCTCCTGGGGATGTGCTGGGATGCACAGCCTACCTTCCCGTTTGGCAGCAGCCTCCGAATCGTCACACGGTCCAAGTGCCACCCCGAGTTCACCCCTCCACCATTGTGTCCTATGCGAATCTTTTCAATAATGTCACCAACATCCTCCAGCTACAGAAGAACAAAGACAAACACCGCCAAATAACACCAAAAACAAACAGCAGAAAAACAAACAAACAAAGAAACAAACACCACCAAAACCAAACAAACAGAAAGTAAAAAAATTTTTAAAAAGTGAAATATTAATGGCATGAACAGCTGCTGACTTTTGAGACACCACTTCTTTACCTTATTTCATATTTCTGGGCTGTTTGAAGTCCTAGGGGAGAAAGTATTAGTGCTGATGTTAATTGTAGAATCATAAAATAAATCTTAGAATGGTTTTGGTTCAAAGGGACCATAAAGATCATCCAGTCCCACCCTCCTGCCATGGGCAGGGACACTTTCCACTAGACCAGGGGGCTCCAAGCTTTGCCCTTGAACACTTCCAGGGATGGAGCAACCACAGCTTCTCTGAAAAACCTGTGCCAGCACCTCATCACCCACACAGGAAAGATTTCCTTCCCAATATCCCATTTAACCCTGCCCTCTGGCAGTTTAATACCACTGCCCCTTGTTCTGTCACTATCTGCCTGTATAAAAAGTCCCCCACCCTCTTTTTTATAAGCCCACTTTAGGCCCTGCCAGGGGCTCTCAGCTCTCCCTGGAGCCTTCTCTTGTGCAGGGGAGCAGCCCCAGCTCTCCCAGGCTGGCTCCAGAGCAGAGGGGCTCCAGCCCTGGCAGCAGCTGCGTGGCCTTCCCTGCAGTTACATCCTAATTTGCATTTTGACTAAAAGTTTTCCCTGGACTTCTGCTCCAAAATGATGAGAACCTTGCTCTGTACGAATTACCCACCATATGAGGAAGGTCTGGATGCAAAGCAGCAATCCTGCATCTCAGGCTTCTCTGAATTAGTGAGAATGAGCGCAGTTGTTTAGAAATTTTCCCTGTACTTGGCCCTGGTGAGGCAGCACCTCCAGTGCTGTGTCCAGTTCTGCATCCTTCAGTTCAAGAAGGACACGGAGGGGCTGGAGCGTGTCCAGGGCAGGGAACGGAGCTGGGGAAGGGGCTGGAGCCCCAGGAGCGGCTGAGGGAGCTGGGAAAGGGGCTCAGCCTGGAGCAAAGGAGGCTCAGGGGGCCCTTGTGGCTCTGCACAAGTCCCTGGCAGGAGGGGACAGCCAGGGGGGTCGGGCTGTGCTGCCAGGGAACAGGGACAGGAGGAGGACACAGTCCTAAGCCATGGCGAGATCTAGCTTGGACATTAGGAAGAAATTCTTCACAGAAAGGATGATTAGATATTGAAATGGGCTGTCCAGGGAGGTAGTACAGCCACTGTCCCTGAAGGTGTTCAGTGACTGGATTTGGCCCTCAGTGCTCTGGTCTGGTGACAAGGTGGGGATGGGACACAGGCTGGACTCAATGACCTCAGAGGTCTTTTCCAACCTAATTGATTCTGTGATTCTATGAAACTGCAATGCAGCTGAATCTCAAATTATTCTTTTTAAATCACTTTCTTTTTAAAACACCTGTGTGCACTCTCTTAATACTGGAATAATTTTGAGGTCAAGCTAGTATACAAAGCCTGGCATTTTATATTGTCTCTCCTCTTCTGCCAGAGAATCTTAATGCCATTCTGAGAAAAGCCAACAGGAAGACTGTCTTAAGAAGTTGCTACTGGTTTTTTATGCCTCATCTTATTAATTGAGTAATTTATTACGAATTACTTTTAATTCACTTCCCTTTCAAGTGCTTGAACAGAAATAAATGAAATTCACTCCTAAATATTAGCTTTTGGTTATCCCAGTGCAAACTTTTGTATAGCTGGCCTTCAAACACCCAAGGCTGGCTTCAAACCTTTGTGTGTAGAACGCTGAGCTGTCCTTCTGTCCTTGGGGCCTTAGATTCTTATTTTCTTGGAAAATGTGAGGAAATGGAGTATGTCAGTTTGCATCACTGGAGACTACTCCCTTCCCTCCCCAGCTGACAGAAGTGCCCCATACAGATGCAAAGACAGCAGAAGTTTTAGAAGGCTCCATAAGTCAGTAAGACTGCTCTTCCCAAGGATTCCACACGGAACAAACTGGGTTTGATTCCATCAGCCCTGCTCCGACTTCAGACAGCAGAAGATTCACCGTGAAACAATTAAACGATCCAAACTCATTTCTAAAACTCACTCACATGCACACAAGTATATATTAGGGAAAAATTATTTTTCCTCTTTTGTCCTGTCCAAATACTCATCTTTCAATGAGACTTTTAATCAATACATAGCAATAAGATGATGCTTGAGCAGTCAAGATCCATGTTAAAGAAGAAGTGGGCTTTACCCTGCTGGGATTTACTCTAGCAAATCATCACTTGCAAACACAGTTAAAAGCAGTCTCTAATCTTTTGTGCCTCTTTTGCAAAATACAAAATGATAGAGGCAGGTAAAACCACAAAGCAAACAGACAATTCCCAGTTTGTGTTTTCTGAAACCCCCCAAATAGTTTTTAAGGTCTGTTGAACTCCAAATTATGGCTCTACATGAGCAGGTGAAAGAAAAATATATTTTGCTTTGTTCCTATCTCCTGCAGAAAGAGGTGAAGTGAGAATGAAATCTGGGGACAGGTTAATATGGTGGTATAAATCAGTAGGTACACACTGCATTTTCTTGCACTTACTTAGTCTAAGAAAAGTACTGATGTTTCAGATTCCACCAAAATTGAAATAAATCTTATGTAATAATGACTTAACCAGAACAGTCAGTTTAAGATTTATACCTGTGGATTAATGCGACCTCTACTATGAAAAATTGCGTGGAAACTCCACTGAAATAAGTCTTATTCTTTGTTTTAAAGGAATCACACTGGGGATTTATTTTATGATTCATGACATATAACAACATTGTGGGCTGCAAGTATTTTAACTTGTAAAAGGAATTGGTTTAAAATTTCCCTTCAATTACAAAAACAAACCAGACTCAAAAGAGAGAGAAGCTGTAAGAGCCTCTATGAAGTCAGTGTTGGTGTTGCAGCCAGGAAGGGAAGGTAAGGGCATGAAGCAGCATCAGCAGGATAAGCCGGAGCAGGTCTGCCTGTATTTTTTGCCTCCTACAAATTCTCAGCCCAATAGGAATATACTGTGAATAGGAATTGCTTAATATTGTGGATGTACATGAGCTCACTCTTTGGTGTGCACTGGTTTACTATTTGCTTACACTTGTGTTAAACACTTCAGGAAATACTTGGTAATGTCTTTCAAAAAGTTAGCCTGGGTGTTCAAAAATCACATTGTCTACAGGCAAGAAATGGTTTCTTTGCCTGAGGATACAGAAGAGCATTATGTTTCTGAGTATTGCAAATTGCAAGAGAATTCCAAATCACAGAACACCCTGAGCTGGAAGGGACCCACAAGGATCAGAGTCCAGCCCCTGGCCCTGCACAGACACCCCAACAATCCCACCCTGTGCCTGGGAGCATTGACCAAACCCTCCTGGAGCTCTGGCAGCTTTGGGGCTGTGCCCATTCCCTGGGGAGCCCGGGCAGTGCCCCAACACCCTCTGGGGGAAGAACCTTTCCCCAATATCCAACCTAAACTTCCCATTCATGCTGCTTTCTCAACTCCTGTCTGCTCCTGAGAGTGCAGAGATCAGTGTCTGGCCCTCCTCTTCCCCTCACCAGGATGCTGAAGACCACAATGAGGTCTCCCCTCAGTCTCCTCCAGCTGAACAGACCAAGTGCCCTCAGCTGCTCCTCACACAGCTTCCCCTCCTGACCCCACACCATCCTTGTGGCTTTCTTTGGATGCCCTCTAAAATCTTAATGTCTTTTTTATATTGTGGCACCCAAAACCACTCGAGGTGAGGCTGCCCCAGCCCAGAGCAGGGCAGCAGTGACTGAGGTGGGTGAGAGCAGTGAGGAGCACAGCAGTGGTGACACATCCTGGTCAAGATTTCCACTCTCACTGTCATTTTGGGAATGACCTCTGGTCCCTCCCGAGCCTGGAAACACATCCTTGATGCCAATGGAGGTGAGGAGGAGGGAGGGGCAGAGGCTGACATGACTTTCCTCTTTCTGTAAAGGCCCAGCTACATTTTGTAACCTCCCACATCTTCCCAAGACTCATCTCAGGCATTGGAGCACTTTCTGTTGATTAAATAAATTCAATGGTTCCACAGTACAACAGCATAGAGGACTGAGGGAATCTATTCCTGACCATTGCATGCTCCCCATCCTTTGATCTTACCTCCACGATGAACTGATTCACTGAATTCCTTTCAAAATACATCCTTTGCTCTCTCTTGTTGAGGCACAGGGATTTTTGCTGAGTGCAAATCCCATCACTTCCATAAAGAACAATGAAGACATCTGCATCCGTGCCAGCTCCAAAAATATCACTGGTGTACACCGTGATCTCGTAAGGAACAACTGGTTTAGGAAATGGCAGAAAACAGAAACAAGCCAAAAGGAGTTAGGAGCCAGCATAGCAATGCTCCTAAGAAACAAATTAATGAAACAAAAATTGAATTATAAATCTCAACAGTGAAAGAGGAGAGGGTAGGAATCACACACTTGCGGTCAGTTAAATTATTGAGTTGGTAATTCCCATGAGAATCCAAAGGAATTTCCTTTCATAAGGAAATACCTTTCCTTTATAAGGCAAATTGACCTTGATATGTGTTCATGTAATGAGTTTTTGGGTTAATTATATGACATTCAGTATACCTGCCATTCATAGTTACTAAAATAGGTTTTACTTCAACAGCTCAAGAGTCAAAGCAAAGCATGAATTCACAAATTTTTGAGCATTTAGGAAGATGGATGAAGCTAAGACAGCTGGAACCAGCAAAAAATATTCAAAATAGTCTTATTGACAAAAACAGTCCTAATATTTCCATTACTAAACACATGACAAAAATCCATCACAAGGGAGTTAATAATTCCTCTGTTCCATTTTTCATTTGGTTCCACCTCCCCTAAAGCACTGAGGCAAACAAGTTAAATTACAGCCCAAACCCATGGTGAATGCAGAACAGTAATGCTCGAGCCCATAAATACTCCCCTATTCTTTTCCTGTGGCTTCTCCAGAATGCCCCATGACCCCAAAATCTGATGCCACCTTTTGTTCTATTCTATCTTCACAGCTTCTCAGTCCTGAATCCTGCTGGAGTATGACTCAGACTTGCTCAGGAATAAGGCTGACCCAGGAATATGGGAACAGGGGCTCTGTTCCTGGCTCTGCTATGGATTTGCTATGGATATATTTGAATATATCCTAAGTTTTCAAGGCGAGATGGTGTTTAGCTCACAGAGTTAAGAAACATAGGTTCAGATGTCTGCTCATCAGATAGGTATATACAACTCCAGATGTAGTCAATAAAGTCAGTGCAGTCTGAAGAAACACTTAATCAAGGAATGGAGGCATTTTCCTAGGGATTAACTAAATCACTCCCCAGATCAACCTCTGAATGACCAAATAACCACAACGGCAATTCAGACACTCCACTGTCATGGTATGCCATCGAGCAAACTGTATCCTGTCCCAAACTTTTTAAAATCCTTTCTGAAACCAAAACACCAGGTAAGGCTTCGGTGTCACAGAGCAGCTGCAGGGACCTCTCCTGCCTCCAGAAGACACTATCCCTCAGTCCCACCAGCCATAAGCACAGCCTTCAACACCAGGATTCTGCCACTGCCACGATCTGCCCCTGGCCAGCCCTCTCCCACAGACCCCTAAAAAACTTCCATCCTTTCCTGTCCTGCACTTCAATCTTCTCAGCTGCTTGTCATTCTCACCCTCCTACTCTGCCATGACTTCAGTAGTTTTTGGTCTTTACATTACAGCAGCCTGCACTGAGTTTCAGACTCTGCATCTCCATTAGGGTAGGGAAAAGGCCCTCAGCACCACTCTGCTACTGTTGGAGTAACTCTGATTATGCATATGAGAAACTAATCACTCATTATAAACTCAGGCTCTCTAAATACAGATCTCAGGAGGCTACAGATGAAGAAGTTTTCTTTCTACAGAGAGGCAGCCTGGAGGTACTCAATATTCCTCCTGCCCAACCCAGTGAAATACGCTCTGCCGTGCTCCAAGTAAACTGGAATAATTTCTCCAGAATGTAAGAAGAGAGGGGGGGAAAAAATCCTGGATACCAAAAATCACATGCTATGCATTATGAATTAAAAATTATCCTCTCTGCTGATGGTCACAGCACTTGCTCTTGTTGCTTGAATATTAACAGCAGCTTAGAACTGAATCAGCAAAGCAGTGCCCTAACAAGGTCACCAGCAGCACAACTTTCAGCTGTCAGATGCCCATTTCATTTACATGGCACTTTTAAAGCTGTATCCCCACAGGGATGATTTTAATTGGACTGTGGATGACATGTTTTCATCGTGAAACAATTCTGGCACGAGTCATCATAAAACAAATCAAGCCGGTTTTGTTACCTCTGGCAAACTGAAACCCACAGGTTAATTGTTAGGAAGCCAGAATGTAGTAAACAGCACAGTGGGGAAGGTTCAGATGGTGAAAAAGCATAAGCTGACAGTAGGCCTGGTGCAAACTGTTTGCCAGAGAGGCCTGACTGCTTCCAAAGGCTGGATGTGGGCTGCTGACAAAAATCAAGTTAACACGAACTATGTACTCAAAGGCACAGCACGCCAGAAATTCCTGCATAAAATTCATTAAAATATTCAGAGATATTAAAAATTATATAGCAAACATCTGCATCAAAATATATGGATGGGAAAAACAGATGAGAAGCACGTACTGACTCTCTGGGTTATATTCACTCTTATAAAAGGTATCACTGCATCTATTAATAATTTTATTTTTTCACACAGAATGACATGGAATACCACATCCAGCTCTGGGATCCCAAACTTAAAGAGGACATGGAGCTGCTGGAGCCAGCCCAGAGGAGAAACCATGGAGATGCTCCAAGGGCTTGAGCTCTGGAGCCAGCCTGGGAGAGCTGGGGCTGCTCCCCTGCACAAGAGAAGGCTCCAGGGAGAGCTGAGAGCCCCTGGCAGGGCCTAAAGGGGCTCCAGGAGAGCTGCCCAGGGACTGGGGACAAGGCCTGCAGGGACAGCACACAGGCAATGGCTTCCCAGTGCCAGAGGGCAGGCCCAGCTGGGATATTGGGAAGGAATTGCTGGCTGGGAGGGTGGGCAGGCCCTGGCACAGGGTGCCCAGAGCAGCTGGGGCTGCCCCTGGATCCCTGCAGTGTCCAAGGCCAGGCTGGACAGGGCTTGGAGCAGCCTGGGACCCTGGAAGGTGTCCCTGCCATGGCAGGAGGTGGGACTGGATGAGATTTAAGGTCCCTTTCAGTTCTGTGAATCTACAATTTCTTCCATTTGACCAAAAAAAGTGTGGAAGGGAGCAATGAGAATCCTTTCTTCTCCAGTAAGATCAGATAAAGAAGGTTAGATGTGTGAAATAAAAATACCTTGGTCAAAGAATGGGTGAAGCACAAAGACATGGCAGTGGCAGATCCTCAGAGAAGAAATTATTTCAGCTGACGGACTGGAGGGTATGGGGATCTGGACATGGGAGGGACCTTCAACATAAAATACTGTCTTCATAATTCAAATAAATAATAATTTCAAATAAAAGGAGGCAAAACAGCTGATGGCCTTCCCTGTGGTTATTACCACAACTACTTGTGAAAAAGGAAACTGAGGCAGAGAAAGAGAGTTTGGGCAGATCTAAATTTTGATATCTAAATAAAGAACTGCAGGCGGTAAGGCTTTTGATACCTTCAGTGCATACACTGGGGATGAGAGGGGAGACAGCCTCAGTGTGAAATTTTTCAGCTGTTCTTATGAATGACCAAGGAAGAACTTGTCAGGAAATCAACTCCCAGGTGTCAGACCTCATCTCTCATCATTGTGACATCCAACCCAATGTGAGGAAAAGGCGGTTCTGACAGTACCCTAATGGTGGGAAAAATTAATCAACCACTTGAAATGAAGCAGATCAGAGAGGGACAAGTCAAATACCGTCCCAGGGCTGTACCCTGCACCCTGTCAAAGATGCTTAAGAGCATGAGAAGGGAGAGAGCTACAAAGTAAGCAAAATATTTCATTTACTTCAAGAAAACCATGTTGTCTGATCCTGCAGTACTCTGCAAACAGGAAAATAAGTTTCCAGAACTGAAGAGTTGCCATAGCAGACTTGAGCTTGTACTCAGAAGGAGCTGAGCTGGGGTAATGTTTACCCCAAATATTACTTTGGAGGGGAGTGAAGAGTAAGGAAAAATTGGAGAACACTAAATGAGGCAGACTGGTACAACACTTCCAGAAAAGCACCACACTAAAGAAACTCTAGAAGTGGGTCTTTCATCATGAGACGGCTGTGTGATGCCAAAGGGACTGGAAGAACTAAGACTTGGAAGCAGGACCAGAGAGTCTGCTTTGGCAACAGAAATGGCAATATTAGAATTGAGCAAGATCAAAGGGAAACTGGAGACAAGGAAGGCAGCTTAGAATGAGCAGAGGACTTGGAGGGGATGGGGAAATAGGAGGAAAAATACAATCGTCCACATCCACATGACTTCTAATGATTGTCTGATTTGGCAAACACAAGAAATGTTAATCTAGAGCACCCAGAGGAACCTTCTTGTAGTAATATGAATAGCTGGCATGTGATCTACTTATAACTTTTCCAAAACCAGTTCAAGGGAGAGGCGAAACCTATAAAACTGCATGAGATGGTGAGATTTTATCTCCTGTAATGATGGGTGTATCCTGGGGAAATGGCATTCTGCTCACATGGGATGTACTCTACTGTCTGCAGTTCTGCAGGGAAGATAATTCTCTCAACGGCTCCATCATCCTCCAATTTATCCAGCCAGCGGCCACAAGGGAACTTGAGGCACTGTCCCAGGGATGGGGCATCAATCTCCACCCATTCCAGAAACCAGCCAGTTGAATTACCTGTGGTGGAGAGATAACAATGAATAACCCACAAAGCCTTTGCAGACAACAGCAAATGAATCACTGCATGCCAGACCTCCGAGATATAAATCTTTCTGTCATTTGCCAAAGGGAATGTAGAATATATATGGCGTAAAGATCATTGGATGCAATTGCCCAGGACTGAGGTAAAATCCTTGACATTTCTGTAAGTGTCAGGCTAAAGATGTGCATGTGTAAATGCTAATTACTGCATCACTTTTATCAATTGGCCTCTGTAATAATACGGAGCAGTTATCAATAAACCTGTCCCTCAATGACCCACAGGGGAAGAGATCCATCCATAGCTCCACTGCCTCCCTTGTTTGTAGCAGATACACAAAATTCTGTCTAAAAAGCAGCCAAGACTTGATGATCAAAATGCCACCAAACAATAAAAAAGTGAGACAATTCTATGGGTCCCATGCAATAAAAATAAATAGGGGGTTTGGTGATATCTGTGAAAGACTCTCTCCAAAGATGTGGCTTCAGAACTGTAAAAAGTTGCAGTGGGAGAGGATGCAAAGCTACCTGCAAGTTGGCACCACTGAGCTCCTAAAGTGACATGGGAATGGAATCAGCAGCAAAGACAATAGCAACAACAGCCAAAGTGACAGCAAGGATCTGTCACCAAAAGGTAAATTACGTTTGGAGTCTTGGAGGCAGGTTATTTTATACAGCAATGTGCCCAGTGCACTAGAAACACTGCATTACAAAGCAGATTATCTTACCTTTATTGTCATGGCCTATCTTGATTTTTTTCAGGTCTCCAATGTCCACGGACTCCACTGTAAACTCATCTACCTTCCCACGCTCAAATTTGTTCTTGTTAATCTTTGAGGCCTTTAGGCTGACTATGCCTGTTGTGGCGATGCAAAAGGACATTGTTCAGCATGTGAAACAAATCCTCTGGGAATGTCAACAGTGGAACGAGGGAAGTGGCTAAAATGCAAAAATTGGCTTTTCATCCCAAGATCTGAGCTTTGTCCCTCCCTCTGAGCCCAAGTCTGTTTCAACACCCCAAATATATACAATTCTTCCCTTGAATGATCCTCTGGCAGTGCAACAGGGACGATGCTGTCGTGCTGTGCTCACAGCTAAAGAAATTGCTGCTACCCATCAGTTCCCTGTCACTCTCACAGGCATCCCAGCCACTGCACACACAGCTCAGCTGCTTCCAAGAGGATTTGCTCATCAGCTGATTAAATACTTCTGGGCCACTCAAAGAGGCAGAGGAGGGTTGGGTTTCAGGAGCATGCTGATTCATTGCTGAGGAAAGCAAATCATCCAGTGCATTCACTACTCAATAATGTAGTCCCAGTCAACTGTGCTGTTTCTATAATTGAAATTAAAACCTTTAGATCAGCAGCTGGTGCAAATCAGCATCGCAAAGTTTGGCAGTGATTTACAGCAGCTGGTGCTGTGCTCCAAGTTACCACGATGTGTGCACCGACTGCGAGAACACCAAGTTGTGCTAAAAGGAGTGAGAAATGGATATTGAGGAAATGAAAAGAAACCATGACCTGTCTTTTCAGGTATCAAACGGGGAGTTGCTACCCTTTCCCATCATTTGAAGCCATACCCGTATCATCTTTACTTCCATAGAGTATGATGAAAACATTGGCATCTGTCCCAGCATTCTTCTTGTCCCCCGTTTTCACTTTCACTGTGTATGTCGTTGATTTAGCTGCCAGATAAAATATCCTCATTTAAGAGTGCAAAGTCTGACCAGGAGTTAACTCTACTTTTCCTTGCATAAATGTGTGCTTTGTCTGAGTATTGTTTTAACTGCTCACAGCCATGCTGTAGTCTCTAATTCGTGTCCTATGCTCTGATAGCCCTTGAGGTGAGCTGGGTTATCTGGTCCCAGAATCTTCTACTGCTCCAGTCACTCAGCACACTGCCTGCATATCTACAGATAAGAAATGTGCTCAAGCCTTCCCATTTGCTTCCTAGGAACCTATAACCCTCCTCAAAGCTGCCTCTGACTGTAATATTTAATTTTAAAAATCCACATACCCCACCCCCCTTTATTTCATTGGCATCAAATAATTCGTGTGCGTATAGCACATATCAGAAAATGTGTACACTGACATATACAGTTCATATTCAGAAACACACCTTTCAGAACAGCATCAGTAGGGATGTTTCTATTGCACCATCACCTAGAGAGTGCAGTAAACTCATAGAAAATCTAATGGAAAAGTCTGCTATGGTCTTCACTCAGCTGCTATAACCTCAAGATTTCCAAAATGGAATATTTCCTCCCTAGATGCTCATGTATTTCCAAGATGTTGGTCAACCAGCACATCCTTCTGAACCAAAGGGACAAACACTTTGTGGAGTTTTTTTTGGCTACACAGCTCTCAGAAATTATTCATGTATTCAAAAGCATCTGAAGGGGAAATAGGAGAGAGTTTAAAACCTTTCACTGGTTATGAAACCAAACCAGTAAAAGTGCTGGGCACTCAGCACCTTACAAGATCAGACCCAGGAGTGTGTCACTGCTCTGTGGTTACCATGCAATTTTATTTAAAAGTGAGGCAAAATTATTTTGGAGGACAACAGACACAAGCAGCAAGATGGAAAGTGAGATAAATTTAGGTCCCACCAATTTCTCTGGGTGTGTTTTCTCTCTGCTCAGTTTCATGTTGGAAGATTTAATCGTTACAGTCCATGATGTGAAATTAATGAGATTTATTCCTTAGATATTAGCAACCAATATGCATTTCAGTTCCAAAATGATGACTGAACATATTACCCATCTTCATAGCTTTGTCACTTTGGGTCCAATCTTGCAAGATGATTAAATCAACTAAAAATTAGGAGGGTCCACTCCTCAGAGTCTGACACACACTTGGCACTTCATTCACACCTGAAAATTTCATTTTGGGGCAAAATTACTCTCAGCCCAGTGAGTAACTTCTACTTCTGACTGCTAATGCCCTCAACAGCACTAATAACCTGGTTCCTTTCCAACCCCACACTGGAAGAAATACAAGGCCAACATATATATTCCACCTTTTTGTTCCAGGCCCAAAGTTGCAGGAGACTGGCCATCATTTTCTGGATCTTTCTTTACAAATGCTTCATCCACTGGGACCAGCTCCCTGGCAATCTGACCGTCGTCCTCCTCGACTGCCAGCCACCTCTGACATGGAAAGTAATACCTACAAAATGACAGCAGCACCTGGCACTGACACAGGACTTCACAGGCTTTAATAACATAAACAAACACAGATCAGAGGCTACTTGAAGAAAAAAAAAGTAACACAACAAGATTACTCAAAGCTGAGCAGTACATCTGTTTTCATCCTTGAGATCTGGTGTTCTGGGAACTAAATCCATAAATAGGTTAGGGAGCACATACTACTAAGTGCTGTTTCTGGGCTGCCAGCCCCACATGGTTGATTCATTTTAATTTCACTCCCAGAAAGAGCTCATCAACTGGAAGGAACCTCCAGTCTCCCAAGCATTTTATGTTTATCAAGACTGGACCCTTCTTGTCCTTAAGGATGGTCTCACCCATCAGAGCATTGTGCAATTTTTAAACTTGTGATTTCCAGCAAGTTCCACCTCAAAGGCAAACCTATATTTCAGGTTTTGAACAGCCCGTTCTTTGCTCTTCCAGCTGTCTGTGGAGATCATAAGAGTTTGCTTAGATCAGAATTTGCTTTTGGCCCAGACCTCTGCATTAAGTACAAAAGGCAAACAAAGCATGAGCTCAGAGACTTCCAAAGTGGGGCCTAGAAGGGAAATGCTTGAGTGCAGCCTCTGGTCCAGGAGGGAGAGATGAGCCCATCCCAGGAGAAACAGAAAAAAGCTGAGGTTCCCTTCCAAACACTGCTGGCTCCCAAATTACAGAGCTGCTGGGGCAGCAAAACCCTCCCACAGGTACCCCAGAATGGCCCCACGCTCTGTGTCATGGCACAGTGACCACAAGGCTCCCAAAGGATGCCTTTGGATCCTTCCCTATGAGTTGGAGGGGAGCTGCAACGATGCCTTTCTGCACCTCCTCTGCCTCCCCACGGCTCTGCAGGCCCCTGAGAACGCGGTCCCTTTCCTGAACACATGAAAAGGGCGCAACAGGCTCCTCACGTGGTGCTCTCTTTGAGGTCAATAATCTCAACCCTCTCCAGGAACCAGCTGGGGCTTGCACCAGAGTTATCGTGGCGGATCCGCAGCTTCTTCAGCTCGCCCAGGTCAATGGCTTTGATGGTGAACACGTCTACCTGCACAGGAGGCAAGAGGCAAATGGCTGTGTTTCCAAGAAAGAAGGAAAAAAAGGCAGTAAATGGCCAAGGGCATTCTTTTTTTTGCCATTAAAAAGTAGCTATTTGTAAGTTCTCTCTGTACTCTTTGTGTGGGTGTACAAAAATAACTACAGAGCTCTGAGGTCTCCCATTAACACTCATGTTTGGCTCCTACAAGGCAGTAATAGCCTTGGAGCTGCTCACCCCTTCACTCCTCTCTTTACCAGTTTCAGCTTTCTATGAGTTTAACTCCTCTCTGCTAAATATCATTCCTTTCAGGCTTAGTATTTTCCCACAGATTGAATCTGGAGCTGGTCAAAAAACTTGTTGGCTCCATGGAAATTCTCCTGCCACACCTCTGTGTAGAATCTTAGAATATCCAGAGTTGGAAGGGATCCACAAGGATCACGGAGTCCAACTCCTGCCTCTGCATGGGACAGCCCCAAAATACAGCCCATATGCTTTATTTCAAATAATTCGGAATTTCTTCCTTTTGTCATTTACCACAACCAAGAGGATCATTTATTAACTTTGTTAGTGTGACAGGATGGTCCTTGTTATCATAACAGTTTAAACATTTTAATATGATTAATATGTTGGTAGACTTAGGGCTTGTACTCCCAAGAGGAAGGAGCATTACATTTGCAGCTTGGAGCACTTCCCACTGAATGAAGAACCATGTGCAGGTTGCAGTTTCACCAGTGCCAAGCTCATAAATCACAGCTAACAGCTTATTTAACAACCTTAGGGCTCTTTTTTTTTTTTTTTTTTTTTGTGGTTGCAAGTTTTCCACAGCTGCTTTTTGTTTCTATAATTTTTTGTTCTTCAGAATTATTCCTTTAAAAACTCCTGGCTATAACAGTAGTTTGTTAATTGTTCATAAAATTTTAATAGCAAATACTCAAAATACAAGAGATGGTCTTTAATTGGATTGGATTATAATGTAATTACAGCACACTGTGTAATATTGCTTTTATTCCCTGGCTGGCTGTGTAGAACACTTAGAATAGCATTTGCATCTAAATATCTACATGCTTGAACTGCCCCAAAAATACTCTCCAATACTAATTTAAAGTTTGTAAGTTTTAAGTATCCCTGAAAGGAAGCATTATTACCAGAACGCTTACAGGAAGCAGACAAAGAAAGTAGCTCCAACATGGAATTGGTGTTCAGCTTATTATTCAAATTAATCTCCCCTGGAAAATGTTTTGAGGCATTTATACATTTCAGAAATAAAACACATTTGAAAGAAGTGAGAAGAAACTGTATTGAATGGCCAGCATGTCAAACAAGAGAAGCCTGCCAGCCTCCTTCTCGCTTGAGTGAGTGGAGTTCATGCATTACCTGTCCTTTCTCAAACTTGTTGAGGTTATTTGACCTTTTCAGCTGGCGCTCACCCGTGTCTCCTCTTTCCATGCCATAGATGCTCAAGAAGACATTAGCATCTGTCCCAGCCCCCCACACAATCCCAGTGAGAATGCGGACTTCATACGTATTTTCTGCAAGTAGAATTGCAAAGGCAGGTCAGAAGGACCCCAGAAATGGCCATATTTCATTGAATCCATGGCTCACCGGAGTGAGCCACAGATTTGATGAAATATGGTCATTTCTGGGCCATATTTCCCCCCAAATTTACACAATTTTCCATATTTCCAGCCAGATTTACTCATTTATCCCCAAAATGCCAGCACAGAAAGGGTTTTCCTGGAGTTTGTTGGCATATATCTCAAAACATGAGCATCTCTGCGCTCCTCCAGCCCCTCTCCTCAGCCATAACAACAGTTACATCTTGCTAAACTCTCAGCCACAGTGGCATCCTCTGGGACTCTTCATCCAAGTGCCCCAGATGACCTTTGATGAATCCTGTAGAAATCCTGGAGGATATTCCAATTTCAGGCTGTCTCCCCTATGCTCTGCCTTAGTTTACCCACCATCCTCTTCCTCCCTAGGTTGATCCACCACAGATACAGTGCATGCCTGGGGTAACGGGGTGGTTTTGGGGGATAAGTGGTCCTGCCAAGCAGCACAGTGTGGTTGCCATCCTTCATGCAGAGGCTGGATGCACACACACACACACACTCACATTCCCTCTGGTATTTACCCTCCAGGTCAGATTCTCCGTCAGGCACCAGCTCCACCACGAGCTCCTTGTCCCCTTCATCCTTAGCCAGCCAGCGATGTGCCACAAATGTATAGACATCCATTCCTTCTTCCTCCTTGGTCTCCTCCTCTACCTCCTCATCAGATTTCTTTTTCTTCTTCTTTTTATCAGACTCCTTTGTTTTTGTGGCCAGGCGCTTCAGAGTGACGCTTTCCAGGAACCAGCCATCCCCAATGCCCGTCCCATCGTGGCCTATCCGAATCTTATAAATCTTGCCAACATCTGCAGCCTCTCTCTGCCACCAAGGGAAAATCAGCACCCAGTGGGACAGAAGACAATCTTAATTTCATAAAGCACTTTCTTAAAAATTAGAAGCATGGCCTCTATTACACAAACTATCTAAGAAAGGATAAGAACAATTTCTTAACGCAACTTTACATTTATTTTTTCCTTCCTGCTTAACTATTTCATACTTTCCATTACTAAATCTCATCTGAATGGATTTAGCTGAAGACATTCAGAGCAGCCATGGTGAGGAGAGGAGCTAAATCCATATTTATTTGGCTCCTGACTTCCTCCTCGCTCTCCTTACCTGTATTGTCTCTGTGTTGTCACTGAAGATGAATATATGATAATACCACACCAGGTTTTTACAGCTTCTCAGTGCATGAGGCATTTTGAAAATTAATAATAAGATGCCTTTCATACTCAGCACAGGATATGAACCCAGCAAGAAGCAATAATGGTGTAGTGAAAAGGCAGTTAACTCATATAACCCAATCTCTGACACAGACTGTGGGCTTGGAGTGCCCTTCTCCTTCCTTCTCATCTGGAAAATTAGAGAAGTATTTTCTCACTTTGCTGGTGAGCAGAGAGGATACAATCATTAGTGGTTACAGTGCTTCAGTGGCAGAAGGCTGATCAGTAAGAAGATTTACATCCCTCTAGTCAGCACAGCAGACACAAAACCCTCTTGGTTTAGATTATCTGTCCGGATTACTACCTAATGAAGTTGGATAGAAGATTTTACTCCACATAATCCTTCAACAACCCATGACTTGTTTCTGATGATTGCTTATGCTGTTATGCAGTGTTTATGTTATAAAACTTACAAACATTTGCTCCAGGCTGAAATCTGGCACATGGCATGTAAGGTTTTAGTCTAGAAGTGTTTTGTAGATTAAAACAAAATCAATTGCACACAAGATGCTTATCAGAAAACTAAAATTGATCCTGCTGTCCTGACATAAAGAATGTATCTTTCCTTACACGGCTTTACCCTTAGATTTACTGTAATCATCCTGCATGCCTTGTCCATGACTGATGGCATTTCCTATTATCATGTAGTTCAGAGAATCTTACTTTTGCCCATGTCTTTTTGGAAACATTCATATAGTGAAAGAGATAGACAATCTGTGTATTAATGCTCTGGAGCTTCTGACTTGTGTGCTTATAAAAAACTCACAGAAATGGGCATAACTTTCAAATCTGGCAATAAATAACAGAGAGATGATATAAGCAAAGCTATGTAAACAGAACACTGTACATATGGCTTTATTATAAATCTGATATTGGCTAATAGCTCTTACTCATAAATTTTAGAATGCTTATTTCCTTTAAAATCAGAGAAATGTAATCTTAAAATTATAGAGTTTTTAAAAAGCAAACATTTATAAGGTACTAGTCATTTCAAATCCCAAAAAACTCATTAAAAATAGATAAACATCAGTAACTCCATTCAGTAAAGCAAGAAAATGAGGCAGGAGGAGGTGAACTGATCTCAAAAAAACACAGTACAAAACTAGTAAAGCTGTGGATAAAGGCACCTCCATTTGGCCACAGACAGCAGGAAGGATATCCCAGTTCTTGATGACTCAGGGGAACTTCAGCAATTAGCTCCAAGCTTAACTGTGCTGAGATGGATCCAGCCTCTGTGGGACTGCAAATTCATGAGAAGACTTAGGTACTGCTGTGCCAAGTCTTGTGCTGTGAGCACATATGACAGATGTGCCTTAAATCCTGCTTCCACCTGGACTCTCCAGGTCCAGATGTCCAGGTGTTGGTCTCCTTCAGTACAGAAGGATGTGGTTCTGATGTGTCCTGGCAGAGCATCCTGTCTTTGCTCTGCTCTCACATCAGGGCAGGTGCTAAGACCATCCTGTCCCCTAAAACATGGATTCTCTGGGCAGAAGACCCAAGCTAACAAAGCAGAAAAGAGCTTTGCTCCCAAAGGGAGAGGACACCTGACCATGTTGTCATCCACACTTATTGTGCAGCCTCATCAGACCAGGACATCTTGCTGGATTATCCAAGTCCTGTCTCACTCCCTTGAGTGAAGTTGGAGGTTTCTCACCCTCCAAGCACTCCCTTTGCTGCTGGGCTGCTCAGACAGAGGTGTGGGCTCTGTAGTATAAACCTGAATTCTGACCATCCTGATACCTGGAGGGCTGACTGTGCACATGGAGCACCAGGGCTGTGCAGTGCCTGCTGGGAAGGTGTTTCAGGCACTATAAAATCCATGGGGCATTCACACATTCACAGGAATTATAGCTGCAAACCTCTGCAGGACTGACATCTGCACCCACAGTTAATGGTGTGTGTGACCACAGGCAAACCTGGGATTCCTTATATTCTCATACAAATGTGCTATCTTTTTCCCCCAGCTACACAATGAGAATTGTGGTCAGGGCCAACGTTGAAAGCCTTTTGAGATTCTTTAGAAAGTAAATATAAACATATACTGCTATTAGATCATAAATTTCAATTACACCTTTGCTACTAGCCTCTCAGAAGATGTAAGTCCCTCCACAAAACACAAAACCCCATAAAGAAATAAAAAGCCTACCAAAACTATGGATAGAGGGCAGTAGATACTGCCAGACTTTTTTTTTTTTTTTTTTTTTTTTTTTTTTTTTTTTGTATGTTTGGGCTAGTTACTCTATTGATGTCTCAACTTTGGCTGATCATTTCTTTCCCCTCTTAGAAGTGGCAGTGACTGCCTTCATCATACCTTGAAGATATCTGTGGCTCCCCTTTCAAAGTTGTTGGATCTGTTTTCTAAGATGATCAATTCTGTTTTGCCAGTCTCACCATAAATCTGCATGAAGACTTTGGCGTTGGTGCCTGCAGCTCGCACGTCTCCAGTAACTACAGACACCTCATAGTTTATCACTAGTCCAAAAATAAAGCAATTATATCAGCAGAGAAACTCAGATAACAACATTCCCGGGGGCTCAGGTTCGAAATTAAATTACCTTGTCTTAACAAATGACCATGTAGACGACCATTTGCTCTTATCCAAGCTAAATGTGAGATAACAGAACCCTTCACTGAGGACTAACCTAATAGTTTTCCTTTTACAAGTGTTAGCCAGTGTCAGAGGGGTGCAAAACAGAGCCTTAAAAGGGAATTTTGTTTCAGTACTAACTATAGAGTGGTTGAATGATCTCCTTAGTACAGCACAAGGGAGGGAATTACAGAGAGCAAGGGAAAAACACAGCATTCCTTCTCAGGATCCAACAACAGGTTTAAACTGTAGCCTTAAAAGAAAATGGATCTACTGATAAAAGTCAAGTGGCCAGTAGGGATTTGGCACTTATTTATCAAACAGCTTCTCCTTTCCAGGAAACAGGGTAATAAAGACAGGATGGGACATGTGCTGGTGCATAAAGAGAAGAAAGGACTGGCGTAGATAAATGTAGAAAAAAGAAGAACCCACTGATATTGCAGTGAAGAAGCACATTGTCTTGTGCTGTGTTCTGCTTCCCAGGATGTAAATTTTTCATATGGTCTCAGGAAATGGAGATGAAAATCTCTGTAATGTTTTTCCAACTCTTTCAGAAAACATGAGGAGAATATTTTACTTTCCCCACCAATATAAGCTCGTAGGAGTGGTGACTTTTTGGTTTCAGTGTCTAAGACACTGGAGACCCTCCCTCTGAAGAATGGGAGCAGTACATATTTAGCCCTAGCTCTAAAGCAGCACGTGTTCTCTTACATTTCTCAGTAGGCAAAATCTCACTTGGGTAGACCTCCACCTCCACCCTGCCATCAGCCTCATCCTTGTCAAGCCATCGGTTGCAGGGGAACATGTACTGCTTTCCCTGGACTGGAACTGTGATCTGGACACTGGCCAGGAACCAGCCGGACCGCAGACCCACGTTATCGTGCCCAATCAGGATTCGGTTGATCTTCAAAAAAAAGCAAACAAAAGCCCAGAGGGCAGGGAAAAACCCAGCACAACAGAATTTGCTTAATGTTAAACAGTGTCCTCACCCGTGCATGGTGGTGTTCCACCGTGTTTTGTAAATAATTTATATATGTATTTAACCATCTACTTAAAACACTTCTCACATGCCAGCATGCACAATAGATTACTGGTGTGAAATCTATGTAAAATGTGTATCTTAATATCCAGTGTAAATGTCAAAGGCTCTTTCATCATCATCAATATGGAGTGTTTGATCCTGGATTCACACACTTGCACGACTTATAGAGCCACCTGCAATTAATTCTTACCTTTCCAATATCCATCATATCTAGAGTAAACTCATCCACTCGACCACGTTCAAAATAATTGCCTAGATCATTATCAGAGACTAAGAGAGGCTCTTTGCTGGAGTCTGCTTTTTCACCGTAGAGTTTGATGAAAACTTTGGAATCTGAGCTGGCACCAGGGATATCTCCTGTCTTCACACTGATGTGATAACTGACATCTGGAGTAAGATTGATGTACAAAACACAGACATGTGAGTGGCATTTCCAGTGCCCAGCCAGGAAATTGGCTTCAAACAACTTATAGGGGAAGGAAGGTTCCAGACACGGACACTGAAAGGACTTTGGCTTCCATTCGTGCTTCCAGCATTTTAGGGCATTGCTGGAGAAGCTGTCACACCTTGGAGTCTTTCACCAAAAAATAAGAGATCCAATAGCTACATTAGTCAGCATAAAATATTCTCTATGCCTCCCTCTCACTGTTAGATGCTTACCCAAGCCATAAAAATGCACTAAGGTAAATGGGATTATTTCACCATTTTTATACTTACAGTTAAAGGCAATAATTTTGACCACCTTCTTATTTTTTTTTTTTTAAACAAAACAGTCTGCACTATGCAAGCACCATTTTCTAAAGAAAATCATAGCATTGGAGCCCTGGTTCTCCAGAAAAGGAAAGTATAATATTTTTGGTGATTTTCTTCAGAGAATGCTGTTATTTGATGAAATTTACCCTACTGAAACAGAGGCAATTCAAGATTCTTCAGAGAAAGATAAACAAGAAAGCAGCTCTCAAATCACAACTTTAAAAAGCAACATTTCTTTCAACATATATAATGCTGCAATTATGTTCTTTTATGCAAATTAATCCTATTCATGAACCAGAATTTAAGAGTTAGAGGCATTTCTCTCAGAATGACCTACTGCAGCTTCTTGTATAAGAATGGCAAAAAAGGCCCAGTAGATATACTGGGAAATGACAGGAATTATTAAGAAGAAGAAATAAATATAATAAAGAATAATGTGTTTATATTAAAATATTTAAAAATATTTAAAAATAAACACATCCATAGACAACTCAAACCCAGACCTTTTTTTTTCCAAGTTAAACTCACTTTTTAGCAATGGTGACTCCCCAGCAGGCACTAATTCTCGGACAATCTGACCATCGTCCTCATTTTTGTCAAGCCATCTGGTTTACAAACAGAAGTAAGTTATCTTTGAATAATTAGCACCTGTTAGACCTTTCAAAATATACCCTGGCTTCACACATAGCCCATATCCACACTACAGTCAAAAAGATACTTTTTTAAGGGCTCTGTATCTGTGCTATCTTAGCAGGGACTTGACCAGACCATACGGCAGCCACATTTTAAATCTCCATTTTTCCAAGAAGAGGGACTGTGAGAGCTCTGCTTGCAGTAGATAAGCATCTGCTGTGATGTCCATCTGTCTGAAAAGCACAAACTCCACAACCACAAGTTATTCCTGTGAACAGGCAGTTTTAGTGTCTTGAAAGCATTGACCTTTGTTGACCACAAAGGCTTGCAGCCTCTACTACTAAAGGGAGGGGATGAATTATGTTATTCCCATTTTCAGGGCTGAGTATCTGCAGGCAGCTGGCATCAGCAAAAAAGGAAGGATTTGCAATGTTTCTCACCACTAAAGATCCAACTAGGCTAATTAAGAAGAGGAGCTGGGCACAAAGCAAACTGTAGCATGATCTCAAGGGAAGAATATCTGAAAGGAAAATCATCGAATGGTTTGTGTTGGAAGGGACCCTAAAGTCCACTCAGTTACAACTGCCTGCCATGGGTAGGGACACCTTCAACTACCCCTGGTTACTCCAAGCCCTGTCCAACTTGACCTTGAACACTTCCAGGGCTGGGGCAGCCACAGCTGCTCTAGCAACCTGTGCCAGGGCCTCACCACCCTTAGAGTAAATAACTTCTTCTTGATATCTAATCTCTCTGCCCTCCTTCAGCTTAAGATCATTTCCTCCTTATCCTACTACTATATGCCCTTACCAAAAGTTCTGTCTTCAGTCCCCCTCCAAAAGTCCCCTCCCAAAACAGAGGGGAACTAACTGCTAACCTGGAAACCTTCACAGCTGCTCCTTCTGCCTCAGGGTTGAAAGATTTGCAGCCTCAACCCCATTATGTGCCCTACAGCAACCATTGCATGGTAACAGTCAGGGCCCTGGAAGAGGTTTCTCGCCCTCCTCTTCAAACCCAGACTGCTGCAGTGCTCAGTATATTCCTGCAAGCATCTGTTTAGGGTCAGGTTTCCCACAGTGGTGCTGTGAGAGCAGGAGCAGTTTCCAGAATGCCCATTGTTCCCAGGAACACATCTATCTGCAGCAGCGCCTTTTGCAGCTAAAAATACTGTTCTAAAGCAGCAGGGGCGGGAAAAGGACAAATGAGCACTCTCTGGCGGGTCATGCAGAGTATTTAAATGGCTCCAGAGCCAGGAGGAGTGAAAACAAATCCCCAGAAACTGTTTCTTTTTAAAGGTGGCCACACTGGACCACAGCAGACCTGGTTCTGCACATCTGTGCCCTGTGAGCTTCCCACAGTGTCACTGTGACACACACATTGTCCTTGGCTGACCTGTGTGCCTAAAAGGAGGGGAGCTCACTTCCCATGGAAGTTTCTGTCTTTGACTTTGACAGTGAGTCAGCTTGTATGGAAACCAGAAAATGACCCTTAGAACCAGGATTTTGGGACATGAACAAAGAACTGCTGGCAGCTGGATCAAACCTAAGCCACCTCGCTGGTAAAAAGCTAGCACAGCTCAAAGCCATCACCAGTTGGACCAGATATTTTGGAAGTCCCAGGATGTTGCCTCTCCACTTCATCCATCTGAAGGAATATTACATTTTCAATCTTCTCCCCTCTCCTCCCACCCAGAGGAAAATAATAAGCATAAAGAAGCCATGCAAAAAAAAAAACCAGCACCAGGAAAGAAATTCAAACATGAGGTAGAGCCAGCCAGTCCTGGGTGCACGAGCAGCAGAGTTCTCATGCAAAAGGGGTGCACAGGAGTCCCATCATCACAATGACACACCAGCCCCAGCTTCCCTCTAAGCTTCAGGAGGTTGTTGGGTATGCACTCTACCCAAATTCTTCCCTTTCTCTCAGTAAAGCAGGTGGTCTTGTGCAGGTGGGCTTGGACAGGACTAAAAGCTCAGGTGGTCAGCATGAAGATGAAGAACATGTGAACATGTGATGATCACATGAGCACCACGTGAGGGCATCTGATGTGCCTCAGAGGAGGCTAAGGGCTGTAGTGGGATAGAGGAGCAGAAAACTCTGTGGGGAAGACCATGAAACTGGTGACAAAAATTGAGCAAGGGTAGATTGCAATAAGAGCATGCTAAGGCATCACGTTGTCTTGTTTATTGGTGTTTTGGGGCAGGGGTGGGATGGGGGTTATTTTACCTGTTAAAACTGGTCCTTAATATCTTTGTCTTATGTAGTTCTTGATGCTGGCTCAGGATTCACATCCTTGGACAGGTATCCAATGGCTAGGGGATCATGTCATCCCAAAAGTCAAGATGCTTCTGTGTACATGGATGTTAACTGGGAGGACCCACAAAATTCAAGCCTGAATTCCACCACCCCAGGACTATTGAACTCAGCATGACCTTCAGAAAGGCAGAAGCTCACAAGGTAGACACACTTCTACTCGCCTTCTGTTTTTTGTGCCCTGCTAGCTGCTGTTTCTGTTGCCAGTGGACATGCTGCTGTTTTCTGTCACCTTTGCCATTGCTGACATTTTTGGGGGTATCTGGGATAAATCTGCGTGAATCTCGCCTGCTCTGAGGTGGCAGGATAAAAATACATCCCACAAGAAACAGATCTCTGTGTGCAGCACAGCGAATGCTAACTGCTCCAGCAGTGAGGACAGAGGAGAAAAGAGAATCAGAAAAGCAGGACATGCCCTGAGATAAAGAAATTCCCTCCAGTGTTGGTAGATAGTGATGGCAAGAGACAGAGGATATCTTGGACTGGAGGAGGAAGAGGGAGGTTTATCAGAAGTGGCTTTAAAGCTCCTTGTGCTGTTTCAGCCAGGAGAACAGCCAGGAGTGGCAGAAGCACTGTTTTCTCGAGAAGATTAGTGACAGAGGAAATATCTGGATGAGCAATGCCACTGCATCCCTTCCTTTCATTACATATGCATCAATATCCTAATTTCACTTCAGTGTAATTCCAACAGCATATCACTGAGCAGCAGATTGAAAACAGGGGTTTATAGTCTTACCCCAAACACAAATGGATTGACACATCTGGCTGCAGAAAACAGAATATTTCAGCACAGTGCCATCATATCCCTAGTACAAAAGACATGTCAAAATCTTTTATTTTATTAGAGCCTCTGTATGATTTCAGTGAATGTAATTCACATGCCACTGTGGATTTTGCAAGGGTGTAGCTGTGTCCTGTGTCACATCTCTGGTTTAAAAGAGATGCTTTATGACCAATATAACTCAAAGAGGACAGAAATATGACATGAAAGCCACTTCAGAATTTCTAGAGGATCAGAGAGTCAGGTGACCACTGGAAAAAATACAATATGACATCATATATAGCATTTGAAACCCAGGCTGAATGCAATTAGAATGATTGGCACTTCCATTAGACTCAGAGGCACATATGTATTTGTGTGTGCCTTTAAATATAACCTATATACAAAAATGTGTAAAAAGAGATAGACATTTCAGTTTATTTTTAGGCAAGAAAAGGATGTTTCTCTGGCTCTTTTGTAGGATGAATATTTTTTGGCATTTGATAGAATAAATGTTCTTTCACAGGAGTCTCCTAGTGCATCATCCCATTCATGGTCTGTTGTTCTTCAGAGAATTAACAATGTTCCCTTATGCTTGTGCTGGAGAAAAATTAGGATGGTGGGGGCCATATGCTCAGAAAAAAAATTTTAATGACATATCACTGAAGATTTTAGTGGAGTTGTAATGATTTATAGCATGCAAAATTCTATCCTATCACGAACTCACGACTTTGTCTGATTGAAAATTCATTTCTGTCTGGGATATAAATATAATAAAAAATAGTCTGTTTTAGAGCATGTCAGCTAGTCCATTCCTGGACTTCCAGAGAGCTTTGAGGAGAAAGTGACACCAGAAGAACTCAGTTCTGATCTTCAAAAAAGTTTGGCTCCATTTCTGTGGCAAAAGTGGAACTCCCTTAATTTTGAGTTTTGCAGCAGTATTCATCATCGCCATACCTAAACCACATCAGGTGTTACAAGCTCAGTGATGCCACCGAATGATTCAGCATTCAGTTCCTAAAAGCATGGATATTATAATGCCATGTGGTCATTCAAGGAAGGAACAGTACTGCATCCAAGTGATGTACTGGTAATTCTGCAAATAATGCTTGGGGAAGAAACTTGCATTTACTTCTTGCAAGCACGCATCAAATGACTGCTTTAAAAATCACTGACTCTAAGCCAACTGTTTAAAGAGTTGAAAGCACAGGCCTGGGAGTTGTTATTTCTCGATGCTCTTCCTGATTCTGACACAAACTCACAATTAATCCACTTAGCTTCTCTTTATCTCTGCTGGCTCCCTTGTACAACAAAGACAGCTCTTCTTACACAGCTCTTGTGATTACTGAGTGATAGATGATCCTATGGAGTTGCAGAAAAGATTTCAAATTAAAAGGCAAAACATAGTCTTGTGTAGAAATATGTAAATAACAGGAACAGGGAGGCTTCAACAAGTTCTATGCAATGAAGATCTATAAGGGTATGTTAAAGATATCAGTTAGAGAGGAAGCTGGTTAGGCAGCTGTTTGATAATCTGCTCCCCATGTGTCTGGCAGCCCGGTTTGCACAGAGGTAAGGAGCTTGTGGAGCTTTCTCCACAGGTGAGATGTGTTTCTGCTGGAAGGCATTTTTTTCCTCTAGCTGTCTCACAGGAGCAGCTGAGTGTCACAAGGTCAGCAAAGTAGCTTTCAGTATGAACCCAGCAGCGAAAGGTGTTTTCTCCAGACCATAAAATTGTGCTGTGTAGAAGAGTGGAAGTTAATCAAGTCTCAGAGATGAAGGCAGTGAGAACAACATGTCTACTGGCCAAGCAGAAAGAGCATCCTCCCTGGTGTACCCCTTGGGTGGAGTCTCTAACTAACCTCACTGGGCGCTGCCTCTTCTTGGACAAAACTTCTTTCAGCGTCTTGCCCCTGAAGTGGTGCATGAAGCAGGAGTCCCTGAGCTTCTGCCAAAGCAGTGAGGACATAAGCTGTCCTTGGCCTACAGGAGTGGAGGGGAACATCCAAACGCTGCAGGCCATGGAAGTGTCTATGCCTCACATGGAGGATGCAGTGGGTGAGCACCTTCGCCCTCAGATCTCTCCAGAGTCCATGACGACACCCGTACACTGCGATGATGCCTCAGTCTCTCGGGAGACACGGGCACCAAAGGGAATGAGAGGGAGCAGCTGTCCCTGTGCTTGATGGCGATCAGTCATGTCACCTTCTCAATCTGAGAGGAAAGGGATAATGCTGGCACAAGGACAGCAAATAAAGCCACAAGAGCAACACTGATATCGCTTGGGAAAAAGAGACATTTAGAAAGATAAGAAGAGTGGAATTCCATCGCTGGTGACCTGAAGCCTGAAGGTACACCATGAACATTTTGGGGATAAGGTCTTTGGTTTTTCTCTCTGTCCTCTTCCTGTCTCTGGCCTGAGGGGAATGCCCCACTGGTGTTCCTGATCCACAAGTGCAAACTGAAGGGGAAGGGCGTCACTGTGAGCTGATGGAAGACACCCAGTTTAGCAGTCACATATGGAGACAATTCCAAAAGGAAATCTCTAAAATGAGCCAGCTGCTGTGTGCAGTGACACACAGAAATATCTCTGAGGAGACTGAGCAAAACAGCCCTTCACATGGACACTTCATGTCCAAAGAAAAACCTGTCTAGCTTGCTTGCTTAACTCAGTAAAACATATGGTTGTTAAATATGAATCAAAAGGCAGCAATGACTATGTGGTTGTTTGTTCTCTGAGAAGGGAGAGAAGGCTCGCTTTTCACAACCAACATGACATTGTATCTGCTGCTCCGTGCTGTCTCCCTGGTGAATTTGCTCTCTGATGTGATGGGGCTTTAGCAATGCCAAGAGGCTGGGGCTGGCTCCTGTTTTGTATTTGGTTCCCCTAATTATAGCGGAGTTCTTTCAAGGGACAAGTAACCAGCTTAGAGGCTTTACCTTTGTCTTCAATCTTAAAATAATTGTGTTCGAGTTTTACAATCCCACTTGTTCCTGGGAGATGATTTTTTAGAACATCATGGTGCTGTTAAATGGAGCTCACCCTATGTCCATCCTACATGGTGGACATCCGGAGTGGATAAGTGGGAATACACTGGAGTTAATCTTTAATGTTTTCACCCATCTCTCCCCAGTTTGTGCTGCAGTGCTGAGGCAGACCCCAGTTAGTGCCAGGACAGATCATGCATCTTGCTCCTCACAGGCAGCCTCAATACAGCATATTTTTTTTTTTGGCCACTTGATTGTCTAGGGAAGAGAAGACTAGGCTAATAACCCACCCACAGGGGTAAGCCACAGCCCTCTGCCCTGCCACTGTCTCTGTCTGCATGATATGCATTTCCCCTCATGCAAGGAGCTCTCGAGATGGCAGCACAATAATTTTGCATGCTCCCAACACAAAAATAGCATCCCATTTCTGCCAGAAAGATGGGATGAGCATGTGAGGGACTGAAACCTCGTTACATGCAGTAACACCAGCAGGTTGCAGAGTGTGTTTCTGCAGCAGGCAATTGCACTGGGTGTGGTACTGGAAGGTTGCATTTTGTCTTTTGGAAATTCTCTGCATTACTGAGCTAATTGCTGAGAAATTCACAATCCAGATTGCTGGTCATTTGGTAAGGGGAGTTAACTATATCTTAAACCTCCCAAAACACACTCTTTGCTTTCAGGCTTAGAAGGAAAAAAAAAAAAAAAAAAAAAAAAAAAAAAAAAAAAATTAAAAAAAAAAAAG